CCACCCACCCCCTCAACAGCCTTAACATCTACATGTCGACATATATACCTTCACCGCCAGGTAATCATGTGATGCAATGAATCCCACTTTGCAAAGCCTTCCGCTGCGCTTTCAGGGCATGCTCCCTGGGCCTTTTTATCCGGCCCTTCCCTTCCCTCCCCTCTTGCCCTCCCTTCCTCTTCTTGGCCCCCGTGCTTGTGCTCGCGGTTCAGGTACGAATCCCGTCAGGATCCGCCATTTCCACAACTTCCCGCAACAAAAACCTTAAGTTCTTTCTCCCTCAGGGACCCAGGCGGCCCCGTAGCTCCGCCAGCCGCTGCATCAGCACCTGCACGTCCCGGAAGATGGCGGACTGCTGCTCGCGGAGCAACTGCAGGTCGCCAAAGTTTCCGGAGGCCGCCGAGGAGCCAATCGCCGGTCCCGCTGCAACAGCAGCCGCCGCCTCAGCCGCCTCCGAAACCTCCGAAACCAACTCGGAAGCCGACCCCGCGGGACTCCCCGCCGGGACATGGGCAACATCCTCCGAGGAAAGTACGCACAGGCGCCTAAACGGCTGGGCCTCCGAAACCACACCGCCAGTACTATCGCCCGCAACACCAGCCCGCGCTGCGCCTCCGCCTCCACTGCCCATGCCGCCGCCCATGCCGCCGCCACCGGTGTCCTTCCTTGAGCTATGTGGAACGCCAGCAGCCCATTGCGAGGCGCCCATAGCACCTAGAGGCGACAACGGGCCCTCAGAGCCGCCCGGCCCGGGGCTCCCGGGCCGCTCCAGGGGAGGTACGGACGGGTACGACGGCAAGGAGCCGGCGGAATTTGCCGGAGGGCCGCCGTAGGCAGGTCGCGTGTTTTGCGCCAGAGGGCCCGGTGCCGCCGCGCGCGTGTGCAGAGGACCCGGCTGCAGCTGCGCACCAGACGCCCCACCAGGGGCCCTGCCGGCGGCGACCACCATGCTTCCGCCGGCCCCAGTGTATTGTACGACGGGTACGCTGCCGCTGGTAGTGTATTGTACGGCAGGAGCAACACCGCCGGAGTTCAGCGTGGCTCCTGAGAGGCCAGCGGGGCGTGCAGAGCCGCGCGGGGTTCCCGGCGCGCCATGGACGCCGTACACGGCTTGCTTGTCGTAGGGATGGATTTCGTAGCTGGGCTCGTCCCACTGCGGCGGCCGATGCTGGCAGCCGGGCTGCATCACCGGCCCCCGGACGGTCACAGGGAACCCGGTCGCCATACCGGACACTGGAGGATATGCAGCTACACCTGCTGGTGGGGCTGCTACTGCTGCTGCTGCTGTGGTAGTGGCCGTAGCGTGAGGTGGAGGGCCCCCCTCGTAGCCCCGGGGCGCATGGGGCCCCGGAATGGCCCATTTTGTGGAGGGTGAGCCGCCGAAGGAGGCGTGGATGAACGGCGGGGGCCCTCCCGGGGAGGCAGCCACTTCCCCGTCCTGCAATACTGGTCGCTGCATCATCGGCATGTGCTGCTGCTGTTGTTGCTGCTGTTGTTGTTGTTGCTGTTGTTGATACTGTTGTTGGTGCTGATAATGATAATGTTGGGGATGGTACTGGTAGTGTGGGTTCGGAGGGTGGTTGTGTTGGTGATAGTGATGGTAAGCTGGGGGCATTCCAGGAGCAGCTGGTGCCGTAGCCCGCCGCGCTGAATGGAGCTCGTAGGCGCGGGCGGGGTGCAGCTGCGGTGGGGTGAGCGGCTGGGAGGGAGCCGCGGCCGCCGCCGCCGCCGCAGCCGCAGCACCACCACCGCCGCCAGCTGGTGACCCTTCCTCCTTGGTCCACTCGCGCTCCCGGTGCCAGTTCCCTCCGAGCTGCAGCTGCGCCGCCTGCTGACGGACCGCCTCTAGGGCCTCCGCCAGGGAGTACGGCAGCGCCGCCGGCGGGAAGAGCACCGAGCTTCCCGGGTAGGCGATGACAACGCCAGGCCCGGCGCCGCCGCCGCTCCGGGTCAGCAACACCCCTTCCGCGCCCTTAGCTCCGCCTCCACTTGAGGTGGCCTCCCCGGCGCGTGTTCCGTCCACCTCGCCAAGCTCGTCTGGGGATCGGGATTGGCACAGCAGGGCCAACGAGCAGCCCCACGGCGGGAGTCGGCTGATCGAGCCCTATGACCCGCAAAAGTATTGACAACCCAAGAAACACACAGGACCTAGTCCCGACAGCATAGCCTGCCTGTAGGAATGTCGTATTTCTTCAGCGATGGTCCATGGTGCAGATTATGCAAGATTATGATTCTTCCGTTTCTTGTCCCTGTCACGCGCCTTGCCTTGCGACCCGGCCTCACCGGAAGTCCGCAGCAAGAAACGCACCACTTGCTTCTTGGCGTTCTTCCCTGCAGCACCGCACGGCATTTAAAGTTCGCCAAGTTCAGCTGCGTTACGCACTGCCCAAACGGGTAGCCGATAATAGCAGGCATCGCGCAGCTTTCTAAGCAAGTGCGCAAACGTGGAGAAGCTTGCAAACTTCCGGGTCGCCGTCGACGACAATCCGTGCTGGAGAATCACGAGTCGATTGGCTCGATGAGCAGGGACGAGCACGGCTTCAACAAGGGTGCTCGGGATACGGGCCCCCAAAATCCATACTTGGCTGGACTCCTCCTCGGAAAGGGTAACTAGCAAACCAGAACCCATGTCTACTTACTTTTCCTGGCGACTTTCCACCTGCGCAGGAAAGAGGGGGTGGGCTCTCGCAGCAAACGAACCCCCCGGCTGCCACCACCGCCATCACCCGGGTCTGTGTATGCGCTGCCGCGCTCCCGACGAGGGCTGCGAGATCTGCCACCTCTCCCAACTCCCCCATCGCTGCCTCCCAAGGTGGGAGCTGCGTCCTGGAGCCACGAGGTGAAAAGGCCGCCGTTGCTGTGGACGCGGTTCCGGCTGCGACTGTCGGGAGCAACGCTGCGGCTCCGCTTGCCTTGGGCATCGGATTGCCAAACTGTTAGCGTGTACGAAGAGGTGCTTGATTGGGATTCTGTCAGGGAGTCCTTTGAGCTTTCCGAATCGGAACTTCCGGAGGCCCTGCCTCCGCTCTGGGGACGGTCCCGTGAGGCTCTATGATATAGGGCCTCGGTAACGGCCAGGGCGGCAGCGGCTGGGTTGCATTGCGTCGAACCGGCACGGACGAGCTCGCGGATCACTCGGTCGTGGCTGGTACGGCCTCTGCAGTGCCCAGTGCTGGCCGGGACGGAAGTGCGGCCAGGTAGGGGCTTCGGCGCAGGCTTGGAGGGTGACGGTCGGGCTGGTGATGAAAAACGGGCTGGAATGAGGCCCAGTTTTGCCTGGTCAGTTGAAAGGTGCGGAAGTTTAAATTCTGTAGACCTGAGACATAAGTAATTGGTCACGGTACGGGATCTGCAGAACCGCCGGTAGGTCGCAGTTGGCCCGACAGCAACCGTCAGCCAACCGCTGTGCCACGCCCTCCGCAGTCCGAACAAACTGCCCGACAGGGAGCAAACTCCATTTATAAAGCAATGGCGTGGAATATACTAAGCCATATCAAAGGCAACAGCGCGCTTCTGTCAATGGGATAGGATTGATGACAACTTCAAGGCCAGGGTATCCTAGTCGCAACACGCTTGATAACGGACCGCAACAGGACAATAGCTTAAAAACTAATAAGCTCGAGCAATTGAGCTTACCGCTTGCTGCAGGTACCGTTCTTGTAGCTCCACGTTCCGCGGCGCTTCGGTTGCAAGCCGCAGCACGCGGCGATTCTCCTCCAAAAGTCGTTCATTGGTAGAAAGTATGTCGTAGAAGTCGTCAGTGGTCAGCTGCATACAAGGACATGTGCGGGCAGATTTTGCGAATGGGTGGGAGCTCCGTGCAAGTAGGTAACATCAAGGCGTTGAGCGACAAGGAGACATCCTCCGACGGATTGCATAGGCAATGAAAATGCTAAACGCCTGGATTGTCTGCGAATTACAGTAGTTTCAGTTCCAACGCTTGCATCAATGACGGATTCTTCCCACCATTTTTCACTGCAGAGTTCCAGTACGTGATTTTACGCATATCATCATGTATAATTTGGCGCCTAAATGTGGCTGTTACTTGTTACCAGCCTTCCGAGCTGTCATCTAGCGGTTACTAAGGCAGAACCTAAGCGGCGTATCTCATACACAATTAATATCGAGCATGTCGAGCTTATTACACAACTAATAGCTAGATTAGTTTTGTTAACCTTGACAAGCCCCTGGTACTAGGCATCGACATTCGCCGTACCGATTCCCGAAAACCATTCACGCCGTTATGAGAATGCTTCCTGTTCCTTCTTAGTAGTTGTACGTGTTTGCTAGCTGTACGTGTTTAATACGTGACCGGAAATTATGACTGGCTTTACTGGAGGCATGCAACATACGACGCGCATACACAGCTGATTCGGAACGCCTCAGTTCATTCACCTAATGGCCGTCACATGCAAGAGCAAAAGCGACAGAGCATCAAACAAACAATGAAAATTACAAACAGGATTACACACATTACTCCTCCACGCATTTTTCGGCAACCGGCAAAATTCTCACCTACGAACCGCGCGAATTTATCTTAGGCCGCAACCGTCCCCACTTTGCCTCGAGCAACTGGCCTCAAATGTTGAAACTACTTACGTCCAGCCTCTCAAACTTCACCCTCAGAATATCCCTAGTCGACACCTGCTGTTCTATGCACGTCTGTCACGCCTGCGGCCGTGTGCGACGGAAGAGGACGTCTCCCGCACAAGCAACTTCATAAATCCTACGGACGTAGGACGAACGCAACGTCGCACTACCTAGCCCTTATCATCCGCGTCATTCCTGCCTGCCTCGTATCTCTTGCTTGCCTCGTGTCCCTAAAACTAGACCCCAAAGGCAAGAGCCGACTCATTGGTAGAAAGCGAACTCCGTATCGCTCTTCTTGACATTTGCTTTGTAGCCCTTCTCGAAGTCCTTCGGCAGGATGACATACCTACAGATGCAGACAGCATGGTACACAAATAATCGCGGCAGGGACGGCATGGAAAAACGAAATCGGGCCATTCAGGCCAGCCCCTAAAAGTCAGCTGACTTAGGGTTTTGCACGTGACAAGATACACGTGCAAAAAAGCACCGACTAAACCAACTGACTTTCATGGCTGCTGCGAGCAGCGCAGAACTACGGTAGATCCTATGGATTTTGCGTCACCTTTGCCGCACCAACCATACCTGTTCTTCCGTACCGCCAGCATGCCGGCTTCCTGGCAGATAGCCGCAATCTCTGCGGCGCTGATCTTATCAGGGCGCGACACGTAGTCCTCCAGGTCCACCTCGTCCGACAGGTTCATCTTGCTTGTGCACACCTAAAACGTTGCCAAGGCAAGATGGAAACACAACACAGGAGCGGTACATTCCATTTGTCGAGTCATATACACAACGCCAAAGCAGGATCGTAGAACAAAGTCGATCCGCATATCAACTCGACGGCCAAAGCGAAGAGGAGGAATGATGTCTGGCACACTAGCGAAAGGTACGTATTAAGACTTGACAGAGTCGAAAAGTGATATCCAAAAAAGGAAACAATTCGCCAATACATGCTATGCGCAATTTGTTCCCTTGGCCTACACGAAAGCGTAGCTAGTTAACAAGCTACACTTCCATAACAGACGGCAACTGCACGGCGAGCCGCAGGACGTAGAAATGAAGCGAATTACCCGGGCGGTCAGATCGAGCCGAATTTTCGTAAATTCTGCTCATGAGATTCAGTAGCAGCTAGTGATGAAACCCATGATAGTATGCTGGTCTCCCCTTGCAATGGGAACGGCCCCGTAAGACAGGACAGAAACTGCGCTTAACCAGCGCCTCATCCAAATCAGATGTCCGGACCACTTCGCAAATCTTGTGGCGCAAATTACCTGGAAAATTAAGCGCTTCTGACGGCGATCTGGCACTGGAAGCTCGATCTTGCGGTCAAGGCGCCCAGGACGTAGCAGTGCAGGATCCAGGGTGTCAGCGCGATTGGTGGCCATGATGACCTGACAACAACGTGAGTAAAGGGCCAAAAATTACTGCATAAGGACGGTAGGGGCATTGGCAGGAAACCGGCTATCCTGATTCGGCCATGGTGGTAGCTAGCCAGTAGCTTGAAACCTTTCCGGCCGAACCGGAATGGTACAAGCTACCACCATATTACTTACAACTTCAGCTAGCATTGCACAAACCTTTACGAATAAAACTGGATCGTCTTTAATTCCACCCGTTCAGGAAAGCTTGGTGCTTATACTTGCGATAGGACAGACAAGGACCCCCGGTGCAACACGGTGCTTGCCTTAACGTTAACGGTTTGGTCAAAGCCATCCATCTGGTTAAGGAGCTCCATGAGGATACGCTGCACCTCGCGATCGGCGCCGGTCTGGGCATCGAAGCGTGCCGTCGCGATGGCGTCCACCTGAAAGCAGTGTAGCAGGGTCAGCACGTTCCCTTACTACAGCGGAGTTGAAAGAGCCTCGACACAACATGGCCTTGCTGCTGTCAAAATAGCCTTTCACACACAAAGCCACAACCTATGCAAGATGTACCACTTTCCTCGTGCAAACGCCACACTATTGTCGCTTCGCACAAAACCCACCTCATCGATGAAGATAATGGCGGGGGCATTCTCCTTCGCCAGCCTGAACACATCGCGTACCATACGAGGACCCTGCGTGTGCAAGGGACCAGGGTTGTGTTCGATAAAGATTCTCACATTCACTGTGGAGCGCGCGCAGACTGCCACACCCGCGTTAATCAATTGAACAATCCACGTTTTGCATGATACAAAACAGAGTCTACCCTGGATCAATCCCCACTGCTGGCCACGGAGCACGTGCGTTATGCCAGAACCTGGCGTGAACCCTGTGCTGCATACACAATGAAGACTGCCCTTCGTTTCAATGGTCACAAAAACCCAACCCGCGCTTCTCGCGTACCTCGCCCAGGTACTTCTGTACGAACTCGGAACCCACCACCCGAATAAATGCTGCGGTGGTGTGGTGCGCCACGGCCTTAGCGAGCATGGTCTTGCCCGTTCCCGGCGGACCTAGCATGCAGGCAGAAAAGGAAGGGTCTAATATCACCCTGAGCCAGCATTTGCCGGTCATGCTGTCCCAAGAAGGGATCCAACACGACTGGGACAGGTACGTGCCCAACCAGAGACCGCTTTGCTGCAACCGGTTAGCATTGTTATACATCACCCCCATGACAAAGCAAAGGCCTAGATAGCTGCTACGACGTAGTAAGCATTTCTGGCGCGTTAGAAAAAAAGGCTGGGACACAGCATCAAGGTAGCAACCGCACATCAGGAGGTCTGCTCTGCAGATCCTGAGATTTATGACGCATGCACTAGCTTACGGGCAGGTTCGGAAACCTGCGATGCGTGTGATTACATGCGTACCGTAGAGCAGCACACCACGTGGTGGGTCGATACCGATCTGCTTGTATAGGTCCGCTTGCACCAACGGCAGCTCAACCGCTTCACGGATCTCCTGCTTTTGCATGTCGTAACCACCGATATCCTGAAAGTTTACAAACGAGGGGAACACCCCACTGGTAATGTAATGTAAACCCAACGAACTTCGGTATGTTGTTGGCGTGGCACCCTAGGAAACGACAGATAATGCTTCATCCAGAGTGCTGCACAGTAGGCATAGACGCCACATAGGTGGTGGCACTGTACCCACCAGCTGATACACATGTGACATTGACAAACCATTGCAGAAACCCATGACGACACCCATCGAGCAGACAACCATTTGATTCAAAACTCTCCATGGATCAAAAGCACAGCCGTCCTTGATTTTTCCACATGCAGACCGCGGCATAAGTTGAAGCTTGGATATTTAACGTATCCCAAACCACCCCACCCCAGGTACCTGGTACGTCACGTCAGGACGCTCGTGCTCGCCAAGCAAGGAGATGCTGCTGTCCGCCTCTGGCGGCAAGATGTCCACCAGTGCATTGGAATGCCGGTGGAGAGCTACCGATGCAGACGGCTTCAGGAGCTCACGGTTCAGGGTGCTGAGGATGCGGACGAAGTACGTGGAGCCGGTGGTTGAGCCAACGATACCGCTGTTCGCGTCCACCATCTCGAGGAACTGCCCGATCACCAGCGGTACGCTTTGGATCCTTTTGACCTCCTCCTGCGCTCGGAGCAGCTCCCGCTTCAAATTCTTCTGCTCCTCCTTGATATACTCTTCTTGAATCTCCAAAAACTCCAGCTGCCGTTGTAAGTTCTTAAGTGTCGTGTAAAGGTCCTCGTCTGCTGTGCTAGGGGAGCTGACGTCCGGGACCAGCAGGGGTGCATCTGTCTCCATTTCGTCAGCCTTGGGTGGAAGCACATCCACAGCGGCCATTTTCCTGCTTTTAGCTTAGTACTAGCTGCAAAAGGCTTGCCCAACCCCGCACCGGGGTCCGGGCCAACTAACTCAGCGATCGAACGTCAGATCCTTTACAAGCGGCCTTTTATGCCGATATCCATCACAAACGTCAGGCAAGTTGCCTTATAACGGCGATAATAAGTGTTACCTCTCTAAAGGCATACCATTTACGAGCTAATGACAACACGAGAGGGATGTCGCCGTACGGTAGCCCTGCAATTTCGTTGCTGGTTTCAGCCTCCTTAAGCAATGGGGCATTTGCGTGCAATAGGCTACCTCAAAATTAATCATTCGGTACCCTCCCTTCTTCTCCATGCGCCGTCAATGCACCAGCGATAGACCAGCGAGGGGCCCTAAGGTACCCGTTATTATCGCTGATGCTGTGGGTACCTTTGACCCCTCGTCAGCGATGGGAATTGCTTATCATAGGTGCAGGAGGTGTGTGCAGGAAAAACGTAGGCCCTGGGACGTATGGGCGCATCGCCACCAGCGCAGGATACTGCCGTAACACCTCCAATACAACAGCATCATTCCACCCTAGCTCCACCGTTCTACATGGCAACAGCTTCCCCAACAACTGTGTTGAGAGTTAGGGGGCCCAGGCGTGCTCGTGGCTGAATCCTGTATGGAAAAGATGTGACGCGATGCGCTTTTGATACCTGCCGACATCCGTACACTGTCACACGCTGTCACTGTGCAAGATGTTTCATGTTTCCCGCACCGGGCCAACGGGGAGCTATACCTAGAAGTCAGCCCACCTACGTATGTGGTACACATCTTCAAAGGAAACCAAAGGGGATGACAAACCTTTGGCTCCCCGAAGGGGAATACATGATAAGGTCGTTTTACATGCCCGATACATTTAGCAGGTTGTCCTTCATCTCATCATGTGTGGTCAGGCTACCTAAGAGACCCAGCCCGGCATCCACGGGCCAAGGCCCACGTGTTGTGAGTGAGCTACCCATTATCATGGCTCTAGGTGTACTTACCGCCGTAACCCACACCTAAGTCCTCCTCGTAAGAGGCTACCCCTGTATGTCAGTAAGGATTATTATTACACTAACATGGCCGCGAGAAGGACACTTCGTCGCTATCCCATACCCATCACGTTCTCCAGTTCCGTGTACTATTGTGGCATACTGCCCCGAGTAGTTGCTACGTTCGTAGCTGCCATGGCACACTCGAAGTAACAGCAGACCATGCTCTTCATGTCAAGCTCCCGCGCATCCCCATCATCGCACGTCGTTGCGTTTGGGATACGGTGGTCTTCGGGATTCGTGGGGCCCACATCCTCATGCTCGCCATATGGGCAGGGGTCGCGGACACTTTCAACAGCACTGCACATTCAGGGCTGGAACAGTCAGTCCTGTTGCCAAATGGAGTGCCAGATTGCATCAGCAAGGCGCGTATGGGCGCTGTGCGGGCGTCGGCAAAGTAGTGCTGGTGCGTGCCTTTACACAGCCGCTGAAAGAAGTCTTCACTCATCAAGATGGCGGCCACCCCAGCCAAATGAAGGTGGTTATGCCAAATTACCCTAGATATGTATTGCACGATAACTAAAATCTCTTCATAGCCCCGTTTGGACTCCTCTCACACGTGGTCAACAATAGGAATTCATCATGCGATCCGATGGATGTGTCAATACTGAGCACAAGTCCCAATCAAACACGTCGATGCAATCACACACGCGGGACACCTCGGACGCTCACCAAGAATGGGCACTCACACGCACCACTTCGTCAACCGATGATCGCTCAAGCTCAAAACTGCTTCAATCATGCTCTTTGATGCTAAATAGCAGTATCATTTCCCGTCACCCGTGCCCTGCACATGGGACGCGAGTCTCGGCTTCGGCAAGCCCACACCCACAAAGTTAATCTTAGCAATCCCATCGTAATGGTGGAGAAGACCGTTTAGTTTGCTCCGCCTTCCTCGGACTGCTTAAGCGTCTTGAAGCTGAACGGCGTAAAAGTGTACCCATCGCCCTTGTAGAATTTCCCCTGGTACTCGACCCAGTGCAAACGCAGGGCATGCAAGAAAGCCGAAAGTGACTCCATAACCATCAGCACACCTAACGTCGCGCAGGCAAAAACGAAAAACCCGATAATCATGGCGCCCACATTGTTCATGGAAATCGTTAGCATAAGGACACGGTCGTAAAACACACCGGACAGCTGGCTATGGGCCAATGACAATGCCCATAGGCGCAGATACGATGCGGTGTTCGACACGGCGCCCAGCACGAACTCGATTGTGTGGATCATCTGCGTTGGACAGCAGAAATGGGAAGCTAAGTTTGCTTCCCTCAGCAGGGCGCTGACACTATATTGCGGACCACGTGATGCGTACAATCTCGAATGGTAGATGCCAGACGGTCCTAATGCCTCACTGTGATCACGATTTAAACTCACCTGGTGTACCATAACTTCCCCAAACTGAAACTCGCCATGACCGTGGTCGCCGTGGCCGCCTCCGTGGTCGCCACCCTGACCACCAGAACTGGTGTGGCCATGCTCACCGCCATGAGGTCTGTGGCGGCCCTCCTCGTCGTCCGCCAGCGCGCCATAATTTTGAGTCATCTCAACGAAATTGCCCTGCAAAGAGAATGCTTTGTGACTCCAGGCATTGGGATGATAACACGTGAACAAGGCGAACAAACACACGGCTCTTCAAGCTCACCACCTTTGCGGCCTGCATGGCCTCGTGCCGTTTTTTAAGGATAAGCGGCTTCGGCAAAAGCATCCACGGCACAGCGAAGAATGCAATCAGCAGCAAGAAGACCTGCAAGCCACCCTGACCGTTAATGAGCTCATCCTCCTTTTTCTCGGGCCCCGCACCTGCAAAAGGCATGAATTACAGACGCGTTTTGCACGGCTTGTAAGCGACGCGACCGTCAGAATGATGCCATTGGGATGCTATCACGTAAAACAATCCCAGGATAAACACACACGAAACTTGTTCGCCTCACCGGGTGACAGGAACATGTAAATCATGACGTGGTAGAGGTCCGTAAGCTTGCCCGAGCACCACTTAATGATGATCAGCAGGCAGAGGTAACCGAATATGGAGTTCAGGAAAATCATCTGAGGAATAAACTCGCAAAAGATGGACAGGGGTTCCCTACAACCAAATAGGCATGTGGTTGCGTTATTAATTATTCTCCGTCGTACGAGTACCAAACACAGCTTACCTGAAGTACATATTGTTGAACAGCGAGTTGAGGATACCGAAATCCATGTGGGTGACTCCAAGCAAGATGGACATCTTCATCTTGATAGAATTGAAGTAAGGCAACTGCGTTTGGATAACACAGCCGCGGTCATCACACGGCGCACCCACAGTGATACTGCCCGTCGTCACCCCTTGATTGCTCGATCCTCCAGTCAACTAGCAATGCCGCACCTCAGTTTTACGACCATGCCATATTGGGTCCATGCCAAAGACAACAGGTGCGCTGTCTCGAGGCATCATTAGTACGCCCCTGCAGCATGGCGTGAGACGAGCACATATGGTGTTACGACCATGCAGAGGACGATGATGTTCAGCACCAACTGCCACAAAGGAATGGTTTTCACTTACCCGTACTGAGCCTTGCAATCGCGAGGATCGATCTGGTTAGTAATTGAAACGCCATCGTCGTTCACAATTTCTGAATAGTCAGAATGGAAACACTTGAACCGTGTACGTCCAAATATAACGGTTGGCATCGAGAAAAACTCGTTGTAGATAAAACCGACGTAGAAAGCAAAGATGCCCATCAATAGGATGACGTACCGCCCGCCAAACAATAGCGACAACATGTCACCCAGGTCCTGGAAACGAAAGACAAAGTTAGCTTGTCAACTCGAAGGTAGGTATACACATACAACAACAGAGAGGACCAACCAAAAACATGGGACACGAGTTTACAGCCAAAGGCTTTCCACTAACTGGAAAGCCTTTTCAACGCAGCATAAGGCATACTCATGGCTCTTCTGCGTAAGCAGCCGCGAGGAAAACCCAGCTCGCACATGCCATTACCTGCTTGGCAAGCTGTTTCTCCTTCCACACGAGGAAAGCCGCAAATGCAATCATGAGGATAGCGTGTCCGAAATCACCGAACATAACCGCAAACAAGAACGGAAACGTCATCAGCGTCAGGACTGCAGGGTTGACCTCCCGGTACCGGGCGACACCGTACGAGTCGACAATGTTTTGAAATGCTGACGTGAACTTGTTTGTGCGGAAGTACGTCGGAGGCATCTCGTGTGTTGCCACGGGCTGCACGATGACGTGAACCTACGGGATGGGATAGGCATCGACGGATAACAAATTGACAAAATTGTGGGCTGTTCCCATTGCATGCATCGCGGAGATACCTAAGTGTACGCAACGACCTCCATAAGCTTTTAGGCGCCAACCCTTGTTTACCCGAGCCATAATTAAACACCGCTCACCTGCGTGCTGCTGTTCTCGGCGCTTTCCCTGAGGACACGCTGCACCTCCAGCTTGGCAACGGACGGCACCCATGCCTCGGCCACCAGCACCTTCGAAGTCACGTCTACGTTCATCTTGTTCAATGTATGGTAGACTGCTTTTTCACGCCGTACCTAACGTGGGCAGGAAAGACATCAGGGCTTCTGAGAAGACTCACCTAATCATAATTTATAAGAGCATAGGTTTGTAACTCGCTACATGTCCTATATGCCACGTCATGGTCATCACCGCACCGATTATAACACGATAACGCCAACCCAAGTGCTTTACATGACTTACCAGGGTAGCCCATTCGTCCATATTCGCCGCGATAGTCTGCAGGAGGGATTTCCGATGCCGCTCGCCCGCATCAATGGTAGTTTGCAGCTCACGAATGCGCGCCGTTACCTCGCTATCCATCTGCCGCTGCCGCGCGGGATCGTCTGGGAACGGATAGCGATTGGCGTTGAACGCTTCACATATCTGCAAGAAGGGGACCCCCGAAGGTTAAATCAAACACCATAAGTTTGATCTAACTGTGGCACATGCAAGGACTCACAAGTTGAATACTGAACCGTGAGGCAGCCAGGGACAACCCTACACCCACATAAACCTTGCATACATCAAACTACAAGTCACAGGACAAAACACACCTTCATGATTTTGATCTTCGATCGATCCCCAGCGAAGAAAATTACGAACACATGCTTGCTGATGGTCTCGTTGGTGATAGGGTCCTTTACTTCCCCGACGGAGCCCTGACGCAGGTACATGTTGCCGCGGGTGGCCCGAAAGAGCAGTCGCTCGAAGCCGTTGACCTTTTCCGCAGGAATTGTGCCCGCAACGAAGCCGATCCGAGCAATCTTGTCCTGTGCCTGGCAGGGTTAATGAGCATAGCAAGAAGGTTCTTGCGCCATCAAGGTAGACAAGGTAGGCTGTAACAATACAGCCTCAGCAGACCTTGCAAACTCCCCCCAAGCCCCATTTCCAAGAGACAAAAGCACTCTTGCTCTCTCACCCCCATCTCCAGCAAAGGAGCATCTGGGTTTTCTTGAACACCGGAGTAATCACGGTCGAACGCCTCCACGCGCACGTTTGCCTTTGCCTTATCGAAAAACTTAGCTGCGTGTTCCAGAACAACCTGCAACCATAAATGTTTGTTAGAGATAACTTACGCCGAGCATATCTGCACTGTTCTATAATGTAGTCCTGCATAGGACTACCCGCACCTGCAGCTCCACCAACTCGTTATAGGTCCGGTCAAGGCGCTCAGTGTTCTCGTTCATGGTTATTAGCTCCTTTTCTAGCTCTTGCAGCTTGCTCTCGAGGTCGTCGAGTTCGTGTTTCCCCGTCGGCGAGCCGCGCACCGCAGGCGTCAATCCCGCCTTCTCCACCTGCTCCTGGAAAAAGCGCAGCCTGCGGGCCATCTCATCGCAACGCTTCACCTGTGAAAGGAAACGGGGCGAGCGCTCGTCCTATTAGGACGCTTACGTACAATCCATCAACTATGATTGTTCCAAAGTGGCTTCCGCACGCATGAGTCAACATGTGGTGGCTACGCTTACCAGCATGCAAAACGTGAGCTAGAAACATAACCAGGAAGGACAAAATCATTCACCTGGTTTGCGTAGGTTCGCTGAAAGGCACTCTTCTCCGGGTTCAAGTCCTTGAATTGCAGCAGGCCAACTTCCCCCAAAGCTGCCACAGTGTCATGGGCGCTCTCGCTTGGAATAAGTAGCCGAACAAGCTCCATCTCCTCGCTGCGCCATAGGTCTATATTCTGGAAACCGAAGTCCAATAGCTTATCCATTCTTCAGCACGCCAGAAATATGTTTTGTTTCCACTGTAGCCTGTGTAGACTTTAGTCAACGCAGTTGCTTCACAGGGGAACTACAATCCACCAACGGACAGCCTTGCGTCCGGCTCAGCCTTAGTTTCTCATCCTGAACTTAAGTCCACCTGCATTCATTATCGCGCTATGGACGTGTGCAGATGATAGATCTATCCCCCTCATAGTAAATTTCTCCTAGCACAGTTGTACCGTGTTCGTACTTTCAGGGCATGGAATGCCATGAAATGATCTGGCCTGTTGGCCGATATGATCCCGACCATAATGCATGAAAGCCATGAAGGTCTGCAAGGCATGGAAACCTCTTGTTTCTGTGGTATTATACCATGCCAATGTGCGACGTCATGGGCCGCCATCACAATGATGGCCCTGCTCATAATCGGAATCACGTACTGAAGTTATTCATTATTTATTAATTATTTTATGGGAAGGAATCCTGGAATGAAGCTTGCGCAGCATGTGCCGATCAGGACTCCTAAACAATGTCCCACGGGCCTGCTTAAGCAGTTGCCGTGCCTTGTGCTCCAATCAAGAACTACAACACGGAGAAAATGCCCTAAGGATTTAAGATTAACCACCACAGTTCTTCCCCTTTCCTGCAGCGCTTGATTATCGTAGGCTGTACGTGTGAACACCCAGCATCCGCACCACCGCATTCATACGCACTGCTATTAGCAGCTTTCACCCAAGCATCTTACAAAGCCCGCATCCTTCTTATCACCGACAACTGGCCATGAGCCACGTCCCGTAGAAAATCACATCAATGCAGCCACAATACCCGCCCTTTTGGAATTGCAAATGCACCGCGCCTCGCCTTTTGCGTACGCAAACAACAAGCAGCAGAACCTCTGCTGATTGTGTGCAAGACGACACGCTGATGCATCCTGCACCGACGGCAGCAGACGCCCACCATGACGTGGTCATCGTTGGTGGCGGGCCAGCTGGTCTACTGGCCGCTCGGGCGCTTCTGGCAGTGATGCCGAGCGTCGACATCAAGGTTCTGTGGTGCATCTCCAGCCGTGCCTAGATGACATGTAATCGCTCTTGACACCTTCCCTGCCAGACACGTTCCAAATCATGCGAGAATGCGATACTTGTCCAGGAGCTCGGCCTAAAGATGCTCCATTGCAAGACCCTCACAATCCTGTGATCGGAAGGTTTCGGAGCTTGCTTCCATAGCTTCTATGTATCACTTTCCCACCAAATTGTGTGGCAGGTGTTTGAAGCGGCATCCGGCTACCGGAAGAACCTCGGAGCGGGCGTAATGATCGATGTGAACGGCTGGCGGGCACTGCACGCAGTGGACAATGCCCTTGCAGAGCGGTATGTACAGCGTATGGATGCTTACCCGTTCCTGCCGCCAAACACCCTTACTCGTACCCGTAAGGCGCCCGGCGCTCTTTCTTCCTTCCCCCCATTATGCCCATGTGGGTCGCAGCTGTGTAGTAAAATATATGTCGTAAGGAGCAATGGTACGTGAGTCCCGCAACCGGGTGGTGCATTGCAAAATGTTATCACTTAAAAACTCGGGGAGTGCTTCACCATAAAGTCAGCGGCTTTTCCACACCATTTTTCCGCACCGTAGCATACCATCCGACATTCTACGTTCAACGTTGTCCTAACCAGGCGACCTCGCGCACACCACTCGCCTTCCCTCCGCCTTCATAGCTTCCCTGTTCCCGGCACCCTTGGCCCTACCCCCGCATGCGCGGCCCACGTCAGGTTGCGAGCGAAGGGCATCCTCATGCGGCCCTCGCGCTACATGAACGAGCTGGGTGAGCTGATGGCCTTCCAAGAGCCTCCGGTCGACCACGAGAGGAACCTCCGGGTGAGGAGTTGAGGGGATCAGGGGTTGAGGGGTCGAGGGGTTGAGGGGATATTGGGCGGAAGGTCGGACCGGGCCCAGAAACGGGATCTCCTTAATGGCCCCCGGGGCCCTTGTCGAGGGCCCAGCTGTGCCATCCAGCAGTTGCTGCTCTCTGTTGAAAACTATCTGTGTGTGTGTTACTATGTGTCTGTGTGTGTCACTATGCATCTGAATCATGCGATGAGGTCCTGTAACAGAGGCAATGCGAGTCTAGCTGTGATTGGGTGGTAATGAAGGCTGCGGAGCCAGTTCCTGGATCCACAACGGAATCCGGATCCACTACGGAATCCGATCCATTACGGAATCCGGATCCACTACGAATCCGGATCCACTACGAATCCGGATCCACTACGGAACCCGAATCCACTGGGAATCCGGATCCGGATCCATTACGGAATCCGGATCCACAACGGAATCCGGATCCACAGCGAAATCCGGGTTCACAGCCACAGTCCGCCAGGTTCGACTCCTCTCTCTCTCCGTGCCTCCCCTTGGTGGGGCGAAGAACGATTCTGGTGTGCGACTGCTGGTAAGCGTGGTGAGGCCCTAACGCTCTTAGAGCTGCCTGCTTACCTGCCACATGTGGATGTTCCCTCCCCTCCCGCCCGCGTCCCTGTCCCTCCACAAGGCGCACGGCCATACCCCGATGGTGCTTCACTGGGGTGACATTCGGCAGGCGCTGTTCGAGGCCCTGCCCCCTGGTGTGTCGGGCCGGACTGGGAGGGGGGGAAATAAGGTGGTGCCTGCAGGCTCGGCGACGTCTACACGAGCAAATCGAGAGAAGAAAGAAACGCAGGGAGGATTGCGCATGTCGGCGTTAGCAGGTGTTTCTGGCCACTCCCGGTGATGATGTGTCTTTGACTCATGCAGCCTGCTTCTTAGCAAACACGTGCCCGTGCTCTTTAAGGTAGTTGAAAGGGCAGATGGAAGGAGGACTAAACATATCCGTCTCTACAGGATTGAACCACGGGAAGACTAACAAACCCTTTCGGGAGCTCTGTGTGCTTGCCGCAGCTGTCATCTCCCACGTCTTTGCAGCTGGGCTACCACCGGCTACCACCAAGGGCGGTACACACCTCGCGCTTAATGCGTATGCAAGTTACAAGTTCCGGACAAATGCAGGGGCCCGTGTCCAGAAAAACCGGGTTGCCATGGAGGCACCTTATGCCTTGTAGAAAGCAAAGCGCTTCGTGCTCGCCGTGTCAGGCTTGTGCTGTAACAGCTACCCACGGCTGGCCTCTCTCTTGCGTTGCAGGCGTGGTTTCATTCAGCAGTCGTGTAGTGGGCCTTACGCCAGGTCTGCCAGGTGGCGAGCCTGCCGTACTGGAGCTGCAGGTTCGTGTATGGGAAGATGCGGTGCCCGCCTGCCCCGCCTTCCCAGAGGTTGAGGGAGGGCAGTGCGACGCGTGAGTGTGTTGAACGTGTGGCATTTGAACCTCTCGGCTGGTTGCTCACCACGACGTCTCCACATTACCGCGTGTGACAGTATGGGTGCCTTGCCATTCCCGCCACCTTCGTTTATAGAGTTTAAGGAAAAAGTTTTATTGCAACGTTCCGAAATGTGCATGGCGTCGCAGGCACCCGAGCCCCAGCTTGAGCCGCAACCCGATCAGGAGCCGGAGCAGGTTCAGGAGGCGCAGGAGCAGCTGCCAGCAAGCGGCGGTAGCGGAGGATTGCTTCGCCGCCGCCTGGTGACCGCGGACCTGGTCATTGCTGCGGATGGCTACTACAGCCGCTGCAAGAGGATGGTGGGTGGGTGTTGGTGTGGAGGAGGGATGGAGGGGGGGTGACGACTCGGCACCACTTCGGGGACGGATGTGGTGTAAACGCAGGGCCCCCCAAAGCTTGGTGCTTGGCTTGCACGAGAGAGGAATCACATTGGAGAAGCTAAGTGACACGCGGGGCTGGGTGCGGGTGGCTGGGATGTGGAGGCGAGGCTGAGTCTGAGGGTCAAAGTGCAGTCTTCATGCATGGAAACAGCCCCGCCCCGGGAATCCCCGCACTGCCGCCGTGCTGCAACGACCGGCCCACAAACACTCGCTTCCGCGCCACTCTCTCCCGACCTTTGCTGTTCTGGGGGCTGCTGCTGCTGCTGCTCTGACACTGTTGCTGTTGGCCTCAGGCATTCGGCGCCTCGGGGGCCCCACTGCTGCCCACCTTCCGCGACAAGGTGGTCTGGCGGGCCGTGGTGTCCTACTCCGGCCTCGACCAGATGCCGGCCCTGCTGCGGGATGCATGCGGCCGGGGCGAGGCCATGTGGTGGCTGGCGGAGGGAGTGGTGAGTGCCTACCTGCCTGCCTGGGTGGCTGGGTGGGCCAGCGGGCGGACTTGGTGTTTGCTTGTGGCTCAACGGAACGGCGGCGGTCAGCTAGATCGCAGCGGTTCTGCCTGTCTGGGTGGTGTTGTGTGGTGGGGGGCCCAGGAGGACAGCCGAGGTGGAGGCTGTGAAAGCAGGGGGCGCTGTCCGCATCCAGTTCTCCTCCTCCTTGGACCCTCTCCTCCCTTCTCCTTGGTACCTGCCTTGGTAGTTGACAGTTGGCCCTTTGCGTAATTCTCCTCCCCCTTTCCCCTCCCTGGCTTGCACAGCCCCCCAGGCGTACCCTCCTGGTGTACCCTGTCAACGACAACCGCTTTGTGTGGACGTGTGTTGCCCCCGTAGCGGATATCGAGGGGGCGGGTGGGTGATGCGCGTGGTGGTGGTGGCGGTGGCGGTGGCGGTGGCGGGAAGGGGACTGTACTTGTGGGAATGTAAAGGGTGTGTATCCAACGGCAAGGGCGCTTTTGTCAACCTACCTGCTTACCTGCCTGCCCCCCAATCTGCCTGCCTGCCTACCTGCCTACGTGTAAATGTGTGTCTGTGTGCGTTGTGACCCGCAGGTATGCCCCCCTGGAGCCCGTACAAGAGCGCCGTACAGGATCTGGGCATCCAGCTGGCAGGTAAATGAAAAACACAACCGCACGTGCTCGGGAGCGGGGCGGTAGGCGGAGGAGCGGGCAGGGCAGGACGGGACGGGCTGCACCGCATAGTGGAATGAAGCTCCCGAAGCTTCGCAAAGAAGGGTCGCTTAGGCCGGGTGTAGAAACCCCGGATTGGCGCGTTATTTGCCACGGCGGGTATCCGAACCTGCAGTGAGCACTCTCGCACAGAACCCCTCGGTTCGTTGGTTCTTGCACATAGGCTCTGTAGTGTGCTTTAAATCGCTGGTCGACGTTGCGCCCGTTGCGCTGGGCGCTCCGGCGCATGAGCGATGGCGCCCCACTAGCAAAACCCTTTTCCCCGATAACTTAAAATAAAGTTGAGGATCCTCCGACCGGACGCAGTGATTCCGATGATCCAATGCTGCATCCATGGCAGGCAATGTGGGCGACGACCCCAAGCACCGCTGCACGGCCGTGTTCCGCCACCACCCACGGGAGGTGCTGGACCTGCTGGAGCGAACCGACCCGGTGCTCATCACGGAACACGGCTACTACACCCACGACATGGCGGCAATACAGGGGGTAGGGGGGGCCTAGGAGGGGGTAGGGGGGGCCTAGGAGGGGGTAGGGGGCGGGCCCAGCTGTTTAGGACTAGGCTTAGAGTGGTGCGTACTGATGACGTCACGATAAGACAAAGTCAAACGTAAAAAGGAGAGGTACCGGGGGTACATGGGTGTTGCGATGGGTGGGGAGGTGTGGGCTGTGTTTTGGGGTTCTGTGTGACGTGTTCGGCTCCCTGTGACTTGTCGTACGTGGTGTGACGTGGCGTGCGCCCAGGGGCAGGTTATAACTAACCGGTCGGTTACCGACCGTTTTATGTCATAGGGGGGCCGCGGTGTGTATGCACGCTGCGGCGCCCGCTGCTTCTACTAACGCTGCTTTGGTTGCTGTGCGGCCGCGCGGTTTCCTCGCTCTTTCCTTGGGCTTCCTTGGAAAAGCTACTTATGGATCAGCTCATCGCCACACTCCGCAACTCCAGCAGCCCATCCATGCCAACTGCTCCGGCACGTCCCTCCTTCCCTCCTTGCCTTCTGATCCGTCTCACGCATATCTCACGCATATACATGTCCTATCCTCCAGTTCGGTTGGCAAAGGGGAACTGGGTCCGCGCACTACCAGGAGGCTATAGCTGCTCAGCCGTTCTGGTTGACATGGAGGCGGCGCGCAATGCACCGTCCATGGATTTGCATCGGCGCCTTAGCAGCAAGTGCATACACCAGATGATTCATACATCCAAACATGACACCGTTCCTCCACTTGCAGCCCAGTGCCGTACAGCCTTCCCTGTGGAATACTGCGGGGTGACTGGCTGCACCGGGGCTGAGCCCTTTTCGGCTTCGAAGAAGCTGACTACCCTAATTCCTTTGCTGTCCAAACTTCCTATCCCTCACCACCCTCACCCGCACCCGCACCCGCACCTGCATGCAGGCCCCTGACTGGGTCCGTGGGAACGTGCTGGTGGTGGGTGATGCCGCGCACACGGGGCCCCCGGACGGTATGGGCCTCAACATGGCGTGGGAGGACGCGGTGGTGCTGGCGGCGGAGATTGGGCGTCGTGGCGGCCGGTGCGGCCGCGAGGTGAGGCGCGGAGATCAAGAAGGATCTGGAAGAGGCGCAACGGGTGACGGCGCGCGACAGGGGAGGAGGCGGGGAAGGGGAAGAGCTGCTAACGGGGGACGTGTTAAGAAGGTTGTGTGTGCGGGGGGGGGGGGTGTCCACCGGTGGCAAAGTGGTCCTTCGTTTGCGGATTTCTGTCCTTGCTGCACCCGTTACCCTGCAGTCGCACGTCTTCTTCTCACGCTCCTCACCTCCTCACTCAACTCAGGCCCTGGAGGCTTACTGCGCCGCCCGGCTGCCCCGAGTGAGAGACATGTGGTCCGAGGATGACTTGGTCAAGCCGCGCCGTCGAGCCGCGAAGCTGGCGGCGGCCTTTGAGCCGTTGGTCCGAGACAGCAGCGGCCGGGACCGTACGGCGCCGCCGCAGGAGCAAGCGCAGGAGGTGCAGCCGACACCACAAGTACCGCCGCCATGGTCGCTGCTCCCGCCACCGCCACCGCCGCCGCTGTCGCAACAAAAGCAGCAGTGTTAGATTCGAGAGGAGGTCTGGGGATTGTGACCTGGGCACCAGAGCTTGAATTCTAACAAGGCTATGACTGAGCAGAAGGGGAAAGGAGGTCGCGGCCCTTGTTTGATCTCGTTGCGGTCCTTTTTCGATCTGAAATGCTCAGTGCCTGCTTAGAATGGCCCTCAATTTCAATGGTCCTTCGTAGTGTGGAAGTACGTATGAACTTTGGGGCTCCTGAAGTTCGTTATAATGTATCCAAGAATGGATTATTCATTGGTACATATTGCTAAACCCCAAAAAATGGCGCATGTACGTAAATGCAGTACAAAGTTAGCACATTTGGCTTCGTACATTTGGAAGCCCGGGGGACAGAGACCTTTTACGTCGTGACAAGCTTCGAACACTGTCTAGGTTACCTCCTACTAGCTAGCGTCCAATGGCGTTCCGGCGCGACTGAATGTGATGATGCAGGCTGCAGGGTGAACCTGGGGCGGGCGAGCAATTTGCACTGCGTGCTTGCGAGCGTCTTGATATTGCGGGGTGGCCCGCGTTATCTGGTGTCGCTTGCTTCTTAGGGTGTTTTAAGGCATCGGTGTTGAGGTATTTGAGGAGTCAGTGCGCAGTCAAAGGTGGGCATGAATGTTGACGTGCCTGGATTTTTTGCAGGTGCATGTTTTCACGGCGATGTTGGCACCCTGCTTCAGGAATCATCCGGCAGGAGTTGTGCAGGTATTTCAAAAAGCTGTTCAAAAGATGGATCAAAGTTGTGGTCAGTAGTGATTCCAAAGGTTTTGGCATTAGGCTCATGGTGTCCCCTGCTCTGCAGTGTGGTTCTGGTTTCATGAGCCACCTTTAATACGAGGTAGTCAGTATATCCCTGTAAATATATAAAATTTTGTACAAGATTAACTCGCATTGGCTATGCGGGAAAGGCCATGCAGCTTGGGGCAAGGCAGGCAACGGTTGATAACCTGCGTGACATATTTTTCCTTCCAGCAATACCATCTGTAGTGCATTGCATGAAGAATTTGAAATACGTTTTAAGCACTTGCGGCGATTGCTGGTTCGTTGTGCCTATGAAAGCTACAGCTGTGCAGCGAGAGGATTCGTACCGTGCAGCAATGCTCGATTACGGTGCTTTCTTGTGACCTGGATTATGCATATTTACTGCGCAAGTAAACAATGCTTCCGATTCTAAGGAGCCGAGAAGCTGTTTAGAATTGTTATGCACACATTTGTCGAGAAAGTTCGTTGCAGCTGTTCCGATCAGTCGGCGTTTCTGGATGCTTCGAAACTTTGATGTCCATTGCGCACCTTTACGTCAACTCAACAATTTGTTCATTTATTATTTTTGTCATTTATTGGATAGATGCGTTATTGACCCTAGTAGAGGAAAGCAATCCTTTCTAAAATTAAGTTTAGGGCCCTCAGTTCCTTTGCATTACTGAGGTTGCTCATTTCAATTAATTGTGGCTTGCAATGACATCTGCTATAGCGCCCGCGTTGGCAACAACTGAACCCGCCGATGTCAAGGCGAAGGATGGCGCGGAGTGCGCACGCCAGCTGCCGCTGCACAATGCGCCGTCCATGCATGACATGCTAGCACTAAAGCGCCAAAGGCGCTCCTTGGATGAGGTCTCTGTGGGCTCGCAGCAGAATTCCGAACTCCCATCGGAGCAGCAGCAAGCATCCCCAGACAGGGCGACCTGCAGCGTTACAGAACCAGATGCTGTGCAGACGCACTCTCCACAATCGTCTACTATTACAACTTCAAGCAGCTTCGCCTTGCCTGTCCTGCCCGCCGTACCTGGCGAGTCCATGTAAGTTAAATGCTTTCAACCTGCGTGGAAGGTCGCAATCGAAACGGAACTACTGCAAATCCTAGTCCATGCACATTTTATGTTTACCTCAGCTATGGCGTAGTATGGCGAGCGCGTGACTTAAGGATGAGCTCTGATTTCGCAATAATCCGTGTGCACCGTACTGGCTCACGCGCCTGCCAAGCCGGACCCGCAACCCAAAGACTCCCCGACATCGCAAGCTCAATCGATCCGTATGCCTGTCACCCACCACCGTACAATCCTCAGCTTCAACCCCACGCCCGGCCCACTCTGACGCGAAGGTCATTTCCCTCCCGCTGTCCTCTTCCCCTCCTTCCGTTGCGCATGGTCTGGCATGTCACTCGCTGTCGCGTGTGGTGTCAGGGCCGGGTACTTCACTCGGCTCCGGGACACCTTCTCGCAGCATCAAGCCCAGGCGCCACGTGTAACGACCTCCCTGGAGCTGGATGGCATCTATGTGCGCAAACGGTGAGAAGTCAAGGTTTGACCGGGGACCTATCTGCCTTCTGAAAGTTGGCGGGAGAGAGCGGGAGCCTGGCGGGAGAGAAGGGGGAGACATTTCGAACAGCACGTGGAAAGCCTCCTGTATGCGGGTAGAGCCGGGAACGGACCCGTGCTAGACGTGCCAGCAGTCTAATGCGGGCGGCACGGCTGCGGAGGAGAAACCTGCCAGAAGATCAGCGGATGCATTCGAAATACGGAATACTTCAAGACCAAGACCTGGGTGCGTGGCAGATGGGGTCTGTTTGTCTGTCGGTCTGTCTGTCTGTTGGTCTGTCTATCCGGTGCGCCTTGGCTCGCCCCAAATCCCTTCTTCACCACCTCTCCCTAACGGCCCCCGTCCCCCAGGCCCATCCGCGCTCCTAACGGCTCCAGTCCCCTGGCCGTGTGTGGCAGTGTACTGCACCACGTGGTGGTGTACGTCAAGCAGGTGGGGGCCACGAAAGAGATAAGGCAGGTTATGTGACCTTTCGGTTTGGCGCATTGCCACGTGGGATGATGGGATATGGGGGAGCCTGCTCTGGCGGGCAAGAGCGTGGGTGACGTTTCCCGCCTACCAGCCACTCATCCTCGTATTGCCAACGTCTTTCAGACCAACGATAGGTTAAGGGGCAAGATGAACACGGTGCCTTGACTCGGTTAAACATAGAGGAAAGCCTCTACGCTCCGTTTGCCCACCTTCATGAACTCATCCACCGTGTGCTAGCGGCGGCTGCAATATGAGGTGTAGAGAATGTGTGCCGTGGAACACACGGACCACTGACCACTCGCCCACACTGCGGGAAACCGGATGCGCTGCGCAGGGAGAGCTGCTGCACACGTTGGACTACGGCCCAGCTAACGGGGCGGATGTGACGGCAAACATCTTGGAAGAGGTGCCTGCCAAGAAGGTGCTGACAACCGGCCCTGTAACGGAGGAACCGCTTAGCAGTGCCACAGCCGCCACAGGCGCCAATGTGGCGGCACCGGTCGGCGGAAGTGACGGCACGGCGGGCACCCTACCCCTCCCCGGCGTGGCGGTCACGCAGGAGGAGCTGCAGTACATGTACCTGGGTCCCGCAACATATGATGTGGAACACCCGCTTGTACGGCAGGTACGGCTTCCGAATTCCATGTCACACGTTGAAGTTTGTTAAGAGACCTGGTGAAGTGTTTTCTGTTTTCCTGACTGTATGAGTTGCCGGAAAGGGCTGGTCATCGTATATGGGCTTTTGGATGTGTTGGTTTTAGGGTTTTAGGGTTTCGGTCGTTAGGCGGCGAAGTGGGTGAAGAGTTGCACCAAGCATTCCGCTCTAGGCGCTGTTGGACAAAGAGGTGCCTCTTTTCAGGTATGACTCAAGAATGGACCGGCGGGTCGCCGTTTGCATTAGGGTGTTACATTCGCTGTTAATATTACTGGTGGTGGTGGGTCTTGTCACGATAGATACACAACGGGATTAACGATGCATGCGTTCATGAAGCCTTAGCGGCACGACCTGCCCAATGTTTCCATTGCGGCTGAGCTCAACCATTGTCTCACTCTGCTGCGGCGATCCCTCCGCGTCCGCGTGTTACATCCCCCCCCCCGCCCACACACACAGCTGATTGCTTTCGCCGAGTCGAGGCCCTACCATGCGCTGCGCAACAACTGCATCCATTTCGCTGATGTGTTGGTGCGCGTGATGACGGGGACCGCCGTACGCGGTGTGACACTCCTGTACGACATTACATGCGGCTCCGTACCTGTGGTGGATAACCCGATGTTGTTGATGATGCAGCTCATGCTGCGGATGTCCTGGTGAGTGGTTGTGTACGTAGACGGGATAGACTGGCTGCCGGGTTCATCGTTAAGGGCGGCTGAGGGAGGCTCAGGAAATGGCGGAATTTTGTTGAGGGTGGATTAGAGCTTGCCAAGGAATGCTATTGCTTCGGAGGCGGCTTTGGGCACGTTCGTCCAGGTCTCCTCTTATGATCTTCTATGTTCTTATTGCGTTTGCTGTTAACTTTTAGGAGATTTGACGAAGCATCTAGGACCTCTCGAGGCCACATTCCTGCTGAACTCAGGTTCTATCTCGACAGGTTCGTTGTTGTGGACGGCAGCCCATTGGCGGCAGCCTTCCAGGAGCACTGCCGCGCCATCAGCCGACCAGACCACCCGCAGCCGCAAGCCCCGCCTCCGGCAGAGCAAATTGACCCGCGGGTCGCGGTCGCGGCTGACTCAGTGAAGGAAGACCAGGGCGACAACATCACTGCGGCAGCCACCGCTGGTGCGTCGTTGCCGTCCACGTATGCAGCTGCGGCGTCAAGCGCTTTTGTCCCTGATGGGGGACAAGCACCCGGTCTTGGCTCTGCGGGCATGGATGCGGCTGTGAAACAGATCGCGACGCAGGGGGTGCAAGACGCGGCGGGGTTCAGGGTTGGGGACGAGCGCTCGCGGGAGCTGTTGCAGCAACAGGTGGCAGGAACGCGTGCGGCGCTGGGGTTGCTGGGTGCAGAGGAGCCGCTGCAGGAGCGGGAGAACGTCCATGCGCTGTGTGAAGTGGAGGAGGTGAAGGCTTAGTGAAGCCGAGTGTGGTTGGTTCCCTTTTTTGGAAATTTTCCGTGTGACCATCACATCATTAATTGCAACATTGGATATGCGGATTGAGCATGTGTTGGGTGCTTGGGTCCGTGTTGGTGCTAGGTTGTCGTCCTGGAGCGTTCTCGCGTGTTGAGGGCCCCAAGATGTTTTAATGCGCATGTGGTGCAACGCTTGCAGTTCAGGACTTGTGGCTTGCAGTCCAGGACTCCTCACGGTTGCGTATCGGTACTGGGGATAGCTGATTTGTGGGCGCCGAGTAAGATGCTGCGAACTATTTTGGGGTTTACTGCGGAATGGACGACCTACCGAGCTGTGTTTTGTCCGGTGGTGTCGTCTCCTTATGTGGGGATGCGATAACTCGTAACTGCTGCGATAACTTGTACCTAGTAACTGCTGATACTTGCGATGCCACTGACTCGGTTGTGAACGGTCCATCATAAATTCTAAAGGGAACTAAGTGACTTGACCTCTCCTGACGTGCCACTGTCATCATATCATGATGCTCCTAATGTGTCACATAGCCAGAGTCATCCAGTGCCAACTTGAAGGGCATCCCGCGGAACAGTTACCGCTCTGCCTCTTCTGGCAGAAATAGAGAAGCGGGTACGAAGCTCGACGTGTTCCTTGCGCTTTAAAGCAAGCCATACCTCCAAACCAAGTTGCTACGCACCATGCCCCCGCGGCAAGACTTGGGGGCATCCATGCGAAGCAGGCCCAGGGCTGAAGTTAAGCACGGATGGCGGGGAACCCTCCCTCTATGCCGTATTGCATGGCTGCGAGTATGAGGCCAATGGCTGCATGTTGTGCACGACAGCTGCTAGTGCTAGGGGTTGAACCTCTGTTGTGGCTTCAGGCAAGTGCGCGGGTTGTTGGCGTTGCAGCATCGGCATTGCACCACTGCCGCAGTCGGCTGACTAACCCCTAGGCAACTGTTGCAGCGCCCTTGCCCTGGTGCATCCGCGCCATGACAGACGCAGAACTACATATGTCTAGGTCGGTGAGCGGAACTGCAACGTCACCGCCCAAGGTTGTACTCGCACAAAGCCCAACGCACGTAGGACCCTGTGTTCGGAGGTCGTGTATTCATGCAGTTGCAACTGACGCTGGGATGTAGGTACTGCCCTGGTGTAAGCAAAATTCTTTGTGAGGTTTCCATGTAAGCATTGTGCGGCTGCAGCAAGGCTCTTTCCTGCCGAAAGAAATATGGGCGGAGCCGCGCAGGCCAGCGTGCCAGGTAAACTTCATAAATCAACATTCAGGAGAGCAAAACAATCTACGAAAGGCGCTAAATCGCATTTCAACGGGCATCTAACAGGCACGGAGGAAAGCTGGGACCCATGCTTGCACCCTTCCTTTGTAAGGCACCGTATCCACATGCCGTATGCGGGATTCGATTAAAAACTTGGGTGTGTCGGGGGCCCAGGCCAGGGTGCAAGCCCGGGGACGCCACGAAGAACTCAGGGCATTGGCGGGCTTTGGGCCCTTACCATTCTGTGTCAGATTTAGGCGCGGATGAGTGTTGGCGCTATTGGCGCTGTTAGGCTGTCGCTTCCCTGTCATGCGTACGTGCTCTCCTGCGATCCGCTTGACCCTATTGCTGCACCGGGACGCCAAGGGCCCGAAGACTGGCCCCTGACTTGGAAAATACTTTTAGGGTACCTAGCGTTCCCTTGAATGGATCCGCCAAGGCTTCGTAATAGCTGATGAAGGCTAGGTACAGAGCAAAAGAGACGCTTCGTACGGAACACAGGCGGTCAAGCACGTTCAGCTGAGCCTATCTGCCGGCCCCACATCCCCGTATCGCTGATCTTTCGCCACCCTTGGGGCACCCCCAAACCACCATACTCAGGAGGGCCTGGGGCTAAATCCTAAGTTACAACGTGGTACCAAGGCGTTACAGGGTGGTTAGCAAGCTTAGCAAATGGTAGTCGCCATCCCCCCATTGCGCGCCATAGCAAGTTTCTCCCGCTTCAACCCCGGAGTGAAAGCTTCTAAAGAGCCACCGCCTTCGCACCCCACACGAGTGTCCAAAATCCACATGAGGTTTCTTCACGCTACATCCAATTGAGCTCCTCTATGCCTTCGGTTCCGCCCATGAGGAGCGACGGTGACGTTGGCGCACCACCGAGACATCAGTGCCCACCGGCAGTAACTGCACCGTGGCAAAGTCAAGAAAGGGGATTGTCAGTCCATGCCGAATACATGAGTATGCCCTGACTCAGGCTCGGGTCACGATACCGGCAACAGCACGCGAAAGTGGCATCAAGAGACTCCTTCCCGCCGCAATCCCGTGTTTAACATAAACATAAAACCGATGAACCCGGTGACTACTCATCCTTACAAGGCTGCTTGCCGGCCAGGACTGCCTCATCGTAGGCCTTCTTCTTGCCCGCATCACGAAGCTTGTCAAGCTGGCCGTAAAGCGTGATGGTGAACGTAAATCCCGCAAGAAGAAACCAGTGCTTTGGGAAAAGCTTTTTCGTGGCGTAGGTATAAAAGCTCTTCTGGTAGGGATGCGCCACGTTCTCAGGCATGAAGCCGGTCGGCGGAGGCCGCAGGATATCCTTCAGGTACGCCTCTCCGAGAGTCATTTTCTATAGCTATAGACACGGAACGAGGCTGGCCTTAAGAACAGCGCAACCTTGCAGTCACAAGGCGCGGCCTTGGGTGCCAAAATGCTACACGCAGCCCTTTTACGTGCTTGGGTAACCTGCACAAACCAGCAGAGATGCCTATGATGGAGCCCCTGACTTGAGCAGGTTCCGTCAAATACGGCATCTGCATTTAAAGCAATTTACAGCTTGGCTTCACGTCTCAGATGAAGCCCCTCTTTATGTAGTGTAGCACTCTACTGGTCATCACGATTCCTGTTTATCATAATAAATGGATGCAACCAACTCAAGCCAATCGCACAGCATAACTGTGCCGTCTCGCCTTAAGTTAGTTGTTACGCAGGGCCCGTGCGCTGGACAAACTTTCGATTCTGCGACTCTCAACTGTGTATACATGGTTGTGGGAAGAACGAAGGTGCTTTGCTTTAGCAGCGTCCCCACCTCAGTTTACCTGTCACGCTGAACACTATTTTGGCCGTCCATTCACAAAATACAGAAATCCAAAGTCTGCATCAAGGACGCATCAATATCGGAGAAACACGCTGAAATTGCATGGGACTCCCGATCAAGCGCATGGACCCTGCGGGACATCGACAGCTCCAACGGCACGCTGGTGAACGGCGCCGCGCTTCAGCCTTATCGTGAGCCTGTTAGTGGGAACTCCTTCCCAAGGCATAAGGGTTTGCTCCTTGATGTCGCTCTGCTGCTGGTTGCAAGGATACCCGCTCTGGTCGTGCATACCGGGGTAACTCCTTTTTAACTGGTTTTTGCGGGTGACACCCGTTACGTTGCACACACAGGCACACATCACCTCAAGGCAGGAGACAACATATGTTTTGGGACCAAAAGCACTGTGACTGTTGAGGTATGTTAGTTGCAAAGCACTGGGATCAGGTTTGCCAAGCGCTGCACCATGTGAACTTGCTTGCTTAATCCATACCGCAGCTGGAGGATATGAATCTTAGCGACCTGACCGTGGAAGTCCTATTGCGGGCCTACCTCGAGTCGATATGCCAGGCGCTAGAGGTGGGTCACGTCCTACCAACGGATGATGGGATTGATCTCACACTTGCCAGGGCAGGTTACGAAACGTAGCTTCCGAACGGCATTATCATCCTGTCTGACAGCATATTGCCGTGTTGAGGATCTTGTGTTCTGGATGACGTATATAAAGCGCAATAACCCCAGGGTGCGGCCACTGAGGCCGCTAACGACATGGTACGGCGTTGCCACGAGACCCTGGACGGACTACTGACGCCGGACGGAGTCAACGAGTCGCAGTCTGTGGCACTCGCACGATGACGCGGGGTCGGGACAAGGTGTGTCGTCTATCAGACGCGGCTGCGAAGGGCGTGCTACTGACACACAAGTACCCACGTCTCAGCATGGAGCAGGATTAAAATTCGCTAAGGCTGGCACACACAGACTGATCTATGTGACCGCGCGTTAGTGTGAATAATACGTTCATTGGGAGACACACTTAAGTGGCGTGGACGAAGGATGCGCGAGTGCACGGCGCGAAGCGGTATTTATGGGTTTTGGGGCAGGATATGCCAAGAGGATAGATGATTTCGTTGCGTGGCCGTCTCGGGCCCGAGGTAGAGGATCTCTTTTCCTGCACTGTGTTTACATAGATGAATAGTCAACGCGAAGGTTACCGATGATATTTCACCGGCGTCTTAGGCTCGCGGCTAACGCACTACCTGACAGCCTGCGGTTATCGGACACTAATGACCGCAAACGGTCCTTCCAGAAGTGTACTGTAGCGTGGCAGCGGCAAGCTCGTTTGCCTGTGCTATTCCTGTGTGCCACGCGCCGGCAGCGTTGGTACTGTTTCTTGCCTGGGATACGGAGCGAGGATGCTAGCGGCCATGTTGCCTACAGGAAAGAGCATCCATCGAAGCAACAGGGAATATATTTCAAAGGCAGGCGACTTGCGAGACGCTCCTTGAGACTTCTGCACTCCTTTACGAGGAACGCTCGGGATGGTGGGTTGCCTATCGTCTCTCTCCCCGAACTGGGAACAGCCTAAACATACGCCGCAAGGAATCTTATCAGGATCCGGCGGTTCATCCAATAGCTGCTCAGGCGCAGCTTCCGCCCCCTCCACACGCCTAAAATGCATGTTGGACAGCATGTTCACAAACGTCCCATTTCTCAAGCCTGGGGCTTTGCGTCTGGCCAGCTCGAATTGCTCTCAGTGCTAACAAGTCGATGACGGGTTGCGTCCACACCGCTCCGCACCATGACCCACAAACCAACGCTGGCATTCTTGCTTTGCAACCACTGCCGAATTCCCGGGCCATAGCCAATGGACAATACCCGTAAAAATGCACTCATCTGCAGCGCCCTCCAACCGCCAAATATAAAAATGTCCACCTAACCCACTCCTGCTCGGCGACTAGCTGCGGCGGATGGGCAATCTGCCGCCCCATGACCATTCCTCGGTCCGTGGCTCGTCCGGTAAATGCATGTCATTTAACGATCTGCGTGTGCACGCGCGCGTGTGTGTTGAGTTGTGTTTTCCTCCGAAGGTCTAACGCGCCTATACGACCTGTGCCCAAGGGCCAGCTGGAGGCTGTCCGAATTAGGCAGATAGTGTAAGAATGCCGCCGTCCCTGCCTCTTTCCGCAGCAGCACAAAGGGATTGCCTAACCGTAGTCCGGCTAGGTTACGCCGGTAGCAGTAACCCAAGCGCATTCCCGGAGCAGTCCCTAGGGTTCCCACCTTTACACCAGTGCCTGAAAGGGCCGAGGGAAAGGCCCAAAGGCATAAGAAGTCGGGGATCCAAGCCGCCACGGGCTTGCGCCGCCTCTTCACCTCGGTTCATTGCTATTGAGTTGTCCCGCCAAGGACGAATAAACGGGAAACGCCATGACGAGATGGAACACCGCGACAACCAAGAACCAGCAGCCTACGGCACTCTGTGTGCAACAAATTCATTGTGCCACAATATCGCGACTGATGACGGCACCCCACTGCCGCCCACCTCCATGCACGGCTTCCGGCTTCTCAACATCATGAACAAATCTCAAGACCTCTCGGTGGATCGGATGTGCCTGCTGCACCAATGCTCTAATAAGTACGTCTGAGCTATCTCCGCCCCAACCCGCATAGTCGCATTGCCCCCCAATAATTCTACTTGAGTACAGCAGCTCAACAGGCATGAAACACAAGAAAGCAGGTCCCCACTGCAGACCCTCATCCAACACGCCTTCTACTTATGTGCGCACGCCCGCCTGGCTGGCCAAGTCTACCCCTGCTTGCGCTGATGGCGAGGCTGGCTTTGTTGTTGGTAATGGTGGTGAAGGCTTTGCCCCGGGGTGCGCGCCAGGTCCCCATTTGTCAGCAGGTTGCGCATTCCGGCGGTGGTAGGGTGCAGCGCTGAGGCGGTCCCTGCGCCATTTGGCCGAGCCAACCGTGTGGCACCTTGGCCTCCGCTGGCCGTAAAGCGCGCCCCGTAGGCAGAGCTCGCGTGAGAGGTGTCCATCTGACCGCCAGTTCGAGACAACAAGAGTCCTTGAGGCGGGTGCGGCATGCCGCCGCCGCTGGCACCAGGACCGTTTAGGGCACGTGCGAGCGCGTCATCGAGCCTGGCGGCGTTGATTGGGCAGCCGCGAATTGGGCGGCGGGAAGGGGGGAGGGATCGCCAAGGTGTGGGTTGCAGGCAGACTGGGGAGATAGTGGCGAGGTCATTTCAGGTGTCTGGAATGGAACACAGCGCATCCATCCGCACAACCACCCGCGCAATCAAAGCATGACTGGGCGCATCCTATAAGGCGAAGGTCTGGGTTACCAAGAGATCTCAGGTGGGACGTAAGGATGCAGCGAATTCAAAGAGTCGCCTCTGAATCTGCACATAGGAAGGGGCTTTTGGCGGGCGACCTCATGGGCGTGACAGAGTGTGGCAGGAGGGCAGGTGGGTAACAAACTCCAGCATTGCATTCCGTGCCGCAAACCAGCCCCACTCGCGGCCGGCTCCTCATGGCTCATCCAATCTACACCCGCACACAGAGACCCACACCCTACCTGTAGCCCAGCAGGTCCTTGCGTGTGACGATGCCCTTGACTGTGTGCTGCTCGTCCACCACAATCAGGTGCCGCAGACCCATGGTTCGGAACAACACGTAGGTGCGCTCCACGCTGAACGTATCGGGCACCTGCGACACGAGGGAAGCACTTGGATTTTCGGTTGCGGATAGCTTGTGGCTATGGGTAAGTTGTAGTAGTGGCCGCAGCGATTTGTGGAAATGAAGCGCATGCAATTGCTCGAGCGGAACACACCAGATCAAACTTATACGTGTCGACGCGCGAGGCGGCCCCTCCCCCCCCCCACCATGAATACGCTGGTGTTGATGTATGGCGTCAGGTCAATGATCCCCGCGTCAAAAGAAGCCCTGGACGGGGCTTCCGATGCTGTCGTCGCCGTCAACTCGTCCCCAAATGTCAGCCCGCCACGGCTTCCCCCGATACGCCCTCGGTTTGAAGGGCTGCTACTGCCGGCTGATGGCAACGTTGCCGACGAGCTCCCCACAACAGCACTGCCGCTGGCAGTGCGCGAGGCTGCTACTGCGGGAACCTGAAGGCTCGGTCCCCTGGGCACATGCACTGCCGGCGGTAACGGCTCCGCCTCCGAGCTGGCTTCGCTGTAAAACGGCATGATGACGCCGAAATTGCCGTAATCAAATGTCGCATCCACGCGACGCATCTCCGTGCCGGCCCCTGAAGTCAACGCCTGCGGCGCTACCACCGCCGTCGTCGCAGGTCCCGTACTCGGCTCTGGGCCGCCGTTTACCGTGCGTCGTGGAGGGCTGGTAAGGCTCCCGCCGCCGCCACTCGAGGTACGCAGCCCCGCCGCCCGCAGGAGCCCCATCAGGCCCAGCCCCGCCCCGTGGTCCGAGGCACTGAGCTCCGCGGCACTAGCGGCAAGCTCCCGGTTGATAACCGCCATCTGCTGTGCAGCATCTAACGACCTGGCCGCTGACACCGGGTCCATCATCTTGCGGTTGAGCTCCGTCCAGTCGACCTCCAGGTCCTCCGTGCGCCCTGGAAGGTAGGGGAGGAGCGAGGCGTAAGGAATGAAGAACAAGGTCACTAGGTGGTGGCCGTGGAGACAAATGGTGATGGCTGAGTGCTCATGATGGGGAGCAGGTCTTAGGAGGAAAACAAAGTGGCGGAGTTTATACGTGGATAAGTGGATGGGTGGGTGTGGGTATCGGAGGCATCACAGAGCCCGTTACGGCAGGGCACCCGGAGAACCTCACGTACCTAGCAGCAGCGCCTTCTGCAGCAGCACCAGCAGGTGCCCCCGGCTGATGAGGCCGCAGCAGCTGCCGGGGCCCCGAGTGGACCCTTCAGGGTTGGCAGGGCTGCTGGCCCGACCCGTGGGTCCTGCCCCGCTGCTGGCCGCCTGTAAGGGGCTGGGCCCATCTCGCAGCACGGGGAAGCCATTGTGTTGACAGCGCCGCAGCACCTCGCTCAGTTCGCGAACCTGCATGGGATCGAAATTACTAAGTGCTTAGAATACAGGATACACAAAGGCGGGGATGGTGGGGACGGGAGGAGAAGGGCGCCAGTCTTCGACCCCCCACTTGCGCCACCAACAGGCAACACGGCTCGCGACCACAGGGAATAGGTCAACATGGCCCTCAGCGTCACGCCCTCACCCACCGTCATTCGCTGCCTCAGGCACACCACCGGGCTGCTCATGACGTACGACACAGGCAGCAGGTCCAGACTGAAGGCTGAGACTGGTTCGGAGGGCAGGAAGGGAACGCACTTGACCTGTTGAGGGGGTAGATGGGCGGGGAAGAAGGGACGGTGGGGGGCGCCGGGGCGGGCGTTCAGGTGAAGCGGATACCTTGTGCTGGGAACATTAATGATAAACACTTCAAACTTCTCAGCCTCCCGTCCCCGCGCCAAACCGCTCCAGCGGCCCTCGTTCCCACCTCCAACAGCCCGTGGTAGAGCGAGTGTGTTGCCGCATCCGCCACCCACTTGGCCACCATGATCGCAACCAGGACCGGCAACAGCATGTGTACATCCGAGGAGACCTGCACGGGAAGAGATTTACTTTTAGGAAATGACGAATAGACCCGGGGTAGGTGAGCGAAATGCGAGAGGAGCCAGCAGCTATAGCCGCATTCATCAATGTCGGAAGCCTTCAGTCCAGGGTGGTTCATATAGAAACGAAAACGGAGGTGGGAAAGCCCCTAGGGGAGTCCCCCGGAATAGGACCTGAGGGAAGAAGGGGCGGGGGAGGGTGTGTGGATGCAGGATTGGTTTGCGGGAAGAGGGGCTGCACAGCGCGGATAGCATTAGAGCAACCGGCTGGTGGACATGCACACGCAGATGCAAAGATGCGCATCCCCACCCACCCCCACCCCCACACCAGCGACCACAGCCGTGGCGGCCATACCGCAACCCAATTTTCGTAGCCAACAACCCACACATCCCCACCGCAGCAGCCCGCTCCCCCTGCTCACCTCAATCATGATGACAGCCAGAGCTACCGTCATGCGGGTCACTCCGCCCATGAACGCACCCGCCCCCACTAGTGCAAACGCCCCGGGGTCGATCCAGGTCCAGGGGCCAAACGTGTCTGTGGATAAGATTGAGAAGGGGGGAAAATGTATGCCACGTCAAGGTCCAACTGTGAAATGGGAGCCAGTTGGAAAGGCGTGCGGCGGGGTGACAGCGGCAGGGCGAGGGGCGGTCGTTATGGCTCCAAGGAGAAGGGAAATCAAGGTCCTTGACATGATCACATGATGCGAGTGGTGTTCCCTACCTCCCACCCAACACTAACACCCAAGCAGTGACGTGCACTGACACGAGTCCTCCCCCTCCTAAACGTCCTCTGGCTCCCCCCGGCATCGTCCATCCCTTCCAGGGCCTCGCTATGGTAGTTTATCACCCTCGCGCGGTGATACAACCCTGCCCCCCTGTGCGCCGCTAGCTTTCCTCTCCTTTATCCCCAATATCCGTCCCCGCATTCCGCTCCCCCCTCTCTCCGCGTCCCCCTTGTCTCACCCACGGACCATCTCTTCCCCAGCGCCTGAGCAATGTCCACCGTGGCCAGTCCACACACCCGCCCCAGCACCGCCCCGATCATGAGCATGGGCACGAACAGCCCGGAGGACACGGCACTTCCCGCCACCAGCACCGCAAATACAAAGTAGTAGGCGCCCATCACAATCAGGGCGCGGTAGCCGAAACGGCGGTGTGTGCCGCGGGCCAGCAGGTGCTTAATGCCCTCCTCCCCTGGGGGCATACGGAAAAACGAGCGAACAAAGATTTGACCCGATGCAAGGCGATGGGGGGAGGAGGACATGGTGGACAGGAACCAAGGGAAAAAATTGATTACGGACGCGCTTCGAGCAGGAGTCCAAAGTCGGGGAGAAGGGAGAGGAGGCGAGTCGTTGTGAAGTGACGGTGGAGGAGGAAGTGAAAAAAGAGCTGTGAAGAGGGAGGGCTTTTCGGCAGTGGAGAGGGAAAGGGTGGAGGAAAGGAGAGACGCAAACAGCATTTAAAGGACGCGGATAGTTGTACAGCTGGGTAAACGAGCCAACGAGAAGGTCAATGTGAGCGCAATGGGCGGAAGGAGGTTTAGGCTGGCTGGATAACATCAAAACAGATCACCCGCACATGCGACCGGGGGACACCCTCCCTCAGTCGTACACTCACCGGTGCTGAACAGCAGCGTTGCGAGCTGGTTGTACGACACCGTGGAGGTGTTCCCCGGTGTGAGCGAGTTCGGGTTTTCCCCCAGGAAGCGCAACCGGGTGGGCTCCAGCGGGGGGGAGGAGGGCGTGCCTGGGAGGGTCGGATCGGGGGTGCTCTTGTCCGCGGTGAATGGCCCGGGGGGGGGCGTCAGCGGGGGCGGTGCCGAGGGTGACGCGGCAATGTGGTTGGCGACCCAGCATGTGTAGAGCGGCAGGGAGGGTGCCCGCGTGGGGATGCCCTCGCCGGGGCCCCGTAGGCCCGTGTTGCACTGCATGTCGCCTTGCTGCAGTGCAGGTGAGGACACACGGTTGAAGGTTGGTTGTTGGTTGCGGAGGGAAGGGGTTGAGGGTCAGACAGATCGCGACAGAACGACCACAAGTTCATGACGTACTCACTACTGGTATAAACTCCGGCAAGTGTGCAAGGTGGGGGATGGGCAGCCTTATGGAAGCGGACATTGGTGGTTTAGAACCCTTCCCGTTACGTTATGGCGGATAGAATTTCGGGAAAAGTAATGTTCGTCAAGAGGTCATGCCACGCAAGGGATTTGTCCCGTCAGCCATTTCCCGTCCTTCGCGCAGCTTAAAGTCCATAACCCCAGCTCGTCTGTCCGTCTGTCGATCAGCCTGTTTTGTCAGCCTCACATCGTCAATGACGCACTCGGTGGAGGTGCAGGGGAAGAACAGCGGCAGAACCATGCAGCCAGTGATGTACATGGCAGCCAGCACACAAGGCTCTATAGCCCGCTTCCAGCGCAGGTGACCAGTCAGCATGGAGCGAAGCCGAGTCACCTTTTGGGAGAAATGGGCAGCGGGCAGGCAAGGAAAAGGACTCAATAAAACATGCTGGGATATGGAAGACGGGGGATTTGAGAAAAAAACAATTAAACCAAGACGAACGGCAGGGTGGCGGGAGAGAGAGGGTAGGCGAGCGCCTGAGCAGCTGGGGAACTAAGCTAAGTAAACCATGCGTGTGTGTGTGCATATTCACGTGTATGTGTGCGTTGGATTGATTCCGTGTCCTCAAGAGCACTGCGCGTATGAGATGATCATCCAGCTAAGCTGGGGCGCTACCAGCTACTCCGACACACCCGGAGCCGAGCTGATAATCCCAACCACCCACACCTCCAGTCGGCGGGAGCGCAACCGGGGGGTACCTTGCCTCACCGCGCAACGATCACGACACTCAGCCACACTCCTCCCAGAGCCCAATCGTCCGACACACCGGCCCTTCCTCCATTCAGTGCGTTTCCCCCACACACACACACCTCCAGCATCAGCCCAGCCCACCCGCTCAGTACAGCTCCATATCACCACCACAACCGCCACCATAACCACCACGTCCGCAGGCGATTCCGCCGGCATCAGTCCCGTCCCTAAGTCATCGCTCACCTTGATGTTTGCGATGGTGAACGCAATGGCCATCAGACCGGACAACAGCCCAATAGCCGCTGCGGGGACGACCGCCAGCACGTGACTGGAGAACGACATGCCGATTTGCTGGGAGGGCGAAGGAAAGGGGCCAGCGGTTATACAAACGCAACGGAGGGGGTACAAAAGGACCCGGATAGGAGGGGAGAGAAGGAGATCGTGTGGGTGAGGAAGTCATGCACAGTAAGCAGGAAGAGTGGGGGAAAGGCCACAGTGGGAGGGGCGGGGTGTAGAGGAGGAAAGGGGCGGGAAGGGGGCGATGTCGGACGGAATCCCCCTGCACGAAAGCTAGCGCTAGGCCGCGATCTAACAGAATTGAGTCTCAGCCAGGATAACGGAGGGAACATCGCTAACGCCGAAATGCCAAAACGCAAAAACTCCAAGTAGGATACAAACACGTTCTGAAGCTAGGTTGAATGCTTGCAAACACACTTCCAATCTTAAGTGGGGGTTATCTTCAACACGGAAAGGTGCGATATCCATACTCCTAAGAAGACCTGAACCCGAAGACATGCACCCAACCGCCGCCGCCGCCGCCACCCCAACCGCGATCTGTCGCGCTCCGTCTCGGCCCCACCTCAAACGCCACTTCCTTGTCGAACCAGCCAAATGTGCCCTTCCCCTGCAAGGCCTTGCCCACGGATCTGCTCAGGTTGAGGGTCAGGGTGGCGCACATGCAGGCGTAAAACACCTGCCACCCCAGTCGCTGCTGCCAGAAGGAAGCCACCTCCTCAAATGCAAACAGCAAACCACCTGGGCCGGGTGTCACGGAGCACAGGAGGGGGGTAGGCAACATCCGTGGCTGCGGAGGGAGAAGCGCCGGGGAGAAGGATGTGATGTGCTTGAGGATGCGTTAGGGAGGGGGCTGCACACGGAAAGCACCCCGCTGGCAACAGGAGATCTATCCTGACAGGTACTGAGGGCAACGGGGGAAAGACGAACCACGAACGAGTGAAGCTGCTGCCAGGGCAAGAGTGTACCAGAAGTGTACCAGGGCAAGGGGGGGAGATGAAGGGAAGAAGGCAGCTGGAGCCGAGCCGGGCAGAGAGAGCGTAAGGAGGGCTCCGCACCCTGCCATGCTCCTAGCCCCAACAGGGCCCTCACTCACCGATGGGTGCATTGAAGGCCGCCGCCACTCCCACACTGACCCCCGCTGTCACAAAGTCGCGTTTGTCCTTGGGGTTCCGGAACCTCCTGAACATGTTCGTATTGAACCTGCAGGGCCGGCGGCCGCAGCAAGGACAAGAGACAAAACGAATATGGTCTTGTGCGGAATACTTTTGCATTATCATACAAGCTGAGATGTTCACAACAATGAAATGCTGAGCCCCCAAGGGCTCACGCGACCAAACATATTCACACAATACCGAGGTGTATCGATCAGGAAGCGCAGCGACCCACGCGGCGGGGGGTTCGCGGGGGGGGTCGAGTCAGCAAGATAGGGCCCCCCAGCCGCCCCACGCTCACCCGAGTGTGGTCGAATGGCCCTGACTGAGCGCCGCCCCAATGGCCGCCCCGATGTGCAGAAGCGGTCCCTCGGGCCCCACCGGCAGACCACTGGCCACCACCAGGCCGCAGGACACGAACTTCACCACCAGCGTGGCTATATTGAACAGCTGAAGGGGTAACCCGCAGGCCAGGAGGTTCAGGGCGGAGGGAAAGACAGACGATCACAGACGCCAAGGGGTCCGAGGGGGTAAGGGTAAGGAAATGAAGGGTAGGGAAACGAGCTCCAGCACGTACAGAGGGTGGTATGGGTTGCGTAGGGTTACCGAGGGACTGGTAGCCAAGGGGGTGGATGCGGGACCGGGCTAAACCCCTCCTCTGGCTCAGGCATGTAACTAAAAGCCAGGACCGCACACGAGGATTGGTATTCCGGAATGAGAGGCACCACAAACCAGGCCAGGTAGAGACAGCTCGGTATGAGCGGGCGGGGGATGCACGGTGCACGGGGAGAAGAGTCGGGAAGCGGGGCGTGATCGCAGCCCCCTAAGGACGGGATATGTATGACGGTGAAAAAGCGCATGGGGATTTCTTCCGGCACACGAGGCCAAAATGGACGTTGGCCCAGGGCCCTCGCCTCTCCCGTTAGCTACCTTGGGCAGCATGCAGCCGTTCAGGTAAGCCATCACCTCCGGCACCCCACTCCCCTGGGACTCGGGTGCCCAGCCAATCACCGCGGCACTGCTAGCCGCCACCAGGGCCACACTGACTACCACCTGAGGGGGGCCCCGTGATAACAGGGGGCAGGAGCGCGGGAGGGACGGAAGGGCATTCAGGGCAATGAGTGGGAAACGAACTCAAGACATCCAGCTTACACACAGCTTCTACCCGTATTCCAGCCTTAGCGCTCCCAACAACTGCTCTTCCTCCCAACAACTGCTCTTCCTCTCCCCGCAGATCTTCCAATGCAACCAACAACCACAGCCAAGCACCACAGCCAAGCGCTAACGCAGTACAGGCAAGCATCTCTGTCCCGCATGCTTGCCTAACGATTCGGTGCTCTCCTGTCATACCACTCCTCGCCTCAGGCTTAGACGCAAGTCCCTGCAGACTGCGGCGGAGCCCCTGTTACAAACGTTGCAGCCAAATGTTCCTTCCAATCTCCCCTCCACCCACTCCGCTCCACTCCCCCCCAGTTCCTGATACCCCTTAGAGGGCCCCCTGCCCTGCCGGGTCCTACGTTAAACAGCCAGGCCACCGCTACATTGGTGTGCAGCAGCAGCCACCGGGTGACGCCGTACTTGAACCCCGCCAGCACCCCGATCATCTGGAGGGAGGGAAGGCGGCACAGGAAGGCGGCAAAGGCGGGAAGAGGTGCGGAAGCGGCATCAACAAATACCTACAAAACCCGAAACGATAGCAACAGAAACCTACAAAACCGAAACGACAGCAACAGAAACCTACAAAACCGAAACGATAGCAACATAAACCTACAAAACCGAAACGACAGCAACAGAAACCTACAAAACCGAAACGATAGCAACTAAAACTCCCTAGAAAACCCCGGTTCGTTCTTTGTCTCTATCCCACCTTGCCACACGACCTCCTCTCTAAAGCCCCTTTAAAGCCAAACTATCACACACTGGCGCGTGCTTGTGTTCGTGTCTCGTTTTAGGTCCACCTGCCTTCTCCCCTCCACAGCAGCCCCCCGCCGTCCTAAACCCCTTTCCCTTCCCCCCCACACCCAGCCACCTCCTTTCCTCCTGCCCCTCTCCTCTCACCGTATCCAGCAGGTGAGCCACCAGCCCAGTGGCCACTCCGATGGACCCCATCATCACCCACCGGTCCCAGTTGCGGCGGTGGGGCTGCACAGGGGACGGGAAGGATGAAGGAGTAGGCAGAAGACGAAGAGAATCACGTGGCGGAAATATCACGGCTGGAAATCTTCCACTGCCGATGTCCAGGCAGCCGGGGGAAATGAGGGGACCAGCGATAAGAACCAGGGGGTGTTCCCCTCTCCCCCCTGCCCTCCCCTTCCCGGACTTGAACCTCCTCCCTCCCTGCTTCCCTCCCTCCCTCGCCTCTCCCCTTCTTCCTTGCCTCCCCATCCCGTCATACTCGCCTGCCTAGCCAGCCACTTGCGGTATGTTGCGCTATTGGGCGCCAGGTAGTCGATGGACTCCACGTGGGATAATTTGGCTCGCTCTGGGGAGGTACATGGACCAGCGGACAGACAGATAGACAGGCAAGACAGACATGTGGGCAGACAGACCGAGAGGCAGACGGAAAGGAGTGGGGGAAATGGAACACGGCAGACGGAAAGCACGCTTGGATTAACGACGGAAGAGACGGAGGCGGGAAAAACACAGAGAGGAAGCACAGAAAGAAAGGAATGGGACAAGGGATGAGGAAGTGAAAGCCCGGGGTAACGAACCCGGGAAGGGATTTTCCGCGCGGAAGGATCCCACTGGTGCAGAGAGCCCAGCCCTTCAGAGATTCTGCCCCGCCCCCCTGTTGCTTGTGCTTGGCACTAGCCCGGACCTGTCCTATTTCACTCTTAGGGTTTAGATATATCTCCTGTGCCAATCATCTGACCGCCCCTCTGTCCATCATACCCCCACCCCGGCTACGCACCCTCCGGCGTGAAGTTGTGATTCACTCGAGCGCTCTCCACGTCATTGCCCTTCTGCACGGGAAAAGGCAACCGGGTGAGGGGTAAGGGCCGGCAGCACAAACAGTTGCCAGTCCCCCCGTCCTCCTCCCTGCCTTCCCTGATTCAAACCTCGCCCCACATTCCCACTCAGGACTCCTTCCCCTGCTCCAGTTACGATAATGTGGAAGCTGAACAGCTCCGGTGTGTGGATGCTGCGTTGAGAGATGTCCTCTGCGGGTCCCAGGTCAGGCCCGGGGCCCTACAACAGCCGGTGATCTCCCACCACTGCCATTGCCGTTATCCCGCCGCCGCATACTGCAGCTGCTACCGCAGCGGGCAGGCCTGTGCGACAGCCGCCGCCACAGCCGCTGCCGACCAATGCTGCTGCTGCAGTGGCCATTGTCACTGGCTTGCTTAGATTGCAGCTGCAGCTCCCATGGCCGCTAGAGAGCAACCGCCTCTCAGCCGATGCCATAACCGCCGCAGTTATCATAGCTGCCCTGCAACTGTCCTGCCACTGTCTCAGTCACATCCCCCGCCCCTGCCATCGCATCCCACCCGACCGCACACCAATCACAAGCCATAAAGTACCTTGAAGAAGGCCCGCCAGGCTCTCTTCCAGGATACCCCCGTGCCGTCTTCCTCGCCAGTGCCCCCGCTGCCCCCGCCGCCTCCACTTCCGCTGCCATCGCCTCCACTGGCCCCGCCCCCGCGCCGAGATCCCCCTAGGAGAGGGTCGTTGGCCGCAGCTGCACCGTTCACATACGGGTCTTCATCATCGTACCCATCATAGAACCGCGCATACTCGCGCATATCTGTCGCGAGGTGACGTCAGCACGATTGAGCGGATGGGGGATTAAGGGTTGCGTGTGGGTGGGCGAAAGTGGGTTGGGTGATGGAAAGGTCGAACAGGGAGACCGCAGCTATGCGTTACGGTGCCTGCCGCAAGGGAGTGGTATCTGTATGGTTAGGAATGGGCACTATACGAGAGGCTGCGGCGATGGTAGTGGCTGGGCGGCAAAGCGTGCACGTCGTGGGGTTGGAGACCTGAAGACGCACATCAGGAGGATGGCGCGAGGGCATACGCAGACACAAGCGATGCGCTGTGGCACGTTGGGGTTGTAAGGCTCGGATGTCGGGTGATAACCTTGAGCTGCAGCCTAACGTTGCTAGATGAATATATTAGCCATGGCCACCACGCAACGGGACGCAACAGCTCCGGAACAAGATGTGAACACAGCACACCACCACACAACCTATCAATCGTGCAGAGGTAGCATTAGGCAATCTAATCGCTCGCCGTGTACCCAACCAACTGCCAAGCATGGTGTAACTGTTCCGTGAACGAGGGGTTTTGCCTAGAAAAGAGCACACACTCCTCGGGGTGATGAGCGCGAGCTACCTGAAAAGCTGGTTGCCACTGCGCCAGACGACGCCATTCTGCTTCGACAATCAAAACTTAATGGTGCAAACTCGACCACAGCATGCCATAAACTAAATCCATGATGGTGATGTTCTGCCTTTAGGATAAAAATCCATTAAATTGACTCCAAGAACAGTGCAACAGTGGGATCATGTAACGTGCATGTTGCTAATTTGCATAGAATGTTTGTGCTGTTTTTCTGTTAGACAAATTTTAATTATTATTATTATCATTCATTGGCGGCGTGCGTCGTCTTCAGCGCCTAGCTTCTAGTAAGTGACGTACATCAAAATGGCCGAGAACGAGAACACGACTCATACATCGTTGGAAATGTTTAGCAGGTACGTTGGGAACTCCGACTGTTGCTGGTCTTCTCAGCATAAGCTTACTGAGAGCCGTGAGATATCCGGACGGCTGCAATAGTACGCTGCCAGCATTGCTAGCAAGCAACAATGGATGAGGAACCACCGTTTAATCTTGCATTAAATGTTTACAAGGGTCCCGCATCAATTCCACACGCGAGCGCGGAAGTATTTGGTGCTTTCTTCTTGGCGACAAACGTGAGTGCATCTCTCGAGATCTGCTTGGCCAAATTGAAATTCTCAACCATTAGGGAAATTGGATACTGACGCCCATCGTGCCTGCTTCCTGCCACTGGCTGGCGGCTCAATGTAGACTGCTCTACTAGCGCATATGTTTCCCGGCAAGGTCCTTGGAAGTGAGATTCACGTCCGAAAATGGGAGTAAGTTTTCCGTTGGCGCTTGATGGCGTATTGGCACGCACGGGGCCACACGGTCCCGGAGGGCTGCTTTGCTAACGCCTGAATCGTGCCTTAACCTCTACCCCTCGCAGCCCGGACTACATTGCCGCCTGCTGTAACGAGCAGGGAATGCGACGGGAGGCTCTTCAGGGCAAGAAGCCTCACATGTGGCTGGTACGTAAAGCACTGCCTTGGCATCTACCGCAGGAGATGTGTGAAACAGGGGGGTGTATCTTCGCCCGTGGCAGCTACCCTGCGAAACCCTGCCTTCCCCGGTATATCGGGGCACCCTCATCCAGTCACCCTAGTCAACTTCTCAGTGGATCGCTCAGGTTCCGCACCCACCACCAGCATCCAACGGAATCTGCCGGGTCGACAGCGGCGCAACTCCGTTCCTGGTCGGCTCGCAGGTTAACTTTATCCCAGGTCACCACCGTCCATCAACTAGGGGCGCAATGCCTTCCACCATCGGAAGGACTTTGACCCTAATGGGTATCGATCCCGGGATCTCCCGGGGGCAATGGTCGCGCCTTACCAGTAGTGCCAAACCCTATAGCAGTATATAGGAGACGTATGCGCTGCTTACCGTGTGTGCCGCAATCCGGCCGGGATTGGAAAGTGCGAATCTCCTCAACCCACCTCCTCTCCGAATCAAATGCCTCGGGGACCTAACTCGCTTGAACCCTTCATGCGCCCTCGATGCGCTAGGAAAAGTCCTACAAGGAACCTCACCCTATAGCCCCTTGCAGGAATTGGGTAATGTATCGATAAGATATTATAGGTGTGGAGCTCATCTTGTAGTTTGCAGTTTCAGTATTGGACTATATCAGTGCTGCCCTGCTGAAGTCGCCACGTTTCCTCCTACAGAAGAGACTTCACTCTTGCCAGCCCCAGTGCCTATACTCAGGGCCCTACTCGCATTAAGACGACGCATTCGCACCGCTGCCTTGCCTCATGTGCAGTTGGGCGGCGGGCCACGGCTGGTGAACGACAGCTGGGAGCGCATGTGGTGGGACAACCTGCATTGGAAGCGGTGGGTGGACTGGGGAAACGTGCGGGAGGCGAGGGAACGGTCCGGGCCTAGGAGTGAGGGAGAGGGACATGGAGGAAGGGAACTGGGCAGGAAGCATTTCTTTGCGGAGGACGAAAGGGGAAATGGAGGGAAGTGGTGAGCTTTGTATGAGGGGACCTGAATTCAGGGAACAAAGCGTGAGGGCACTTGGTGGACATGGTAGAAGGGCTCTGTAGGATTTGGAATGTCACCGTGATGCTGTCTCCAACCTAACTGTATTGCACGATGGTGTTTGACAGTCACTCGTTTGAATATAGCATGCTGCTAGCAATCACAGCATTTGTCCTCTCCTTATTCCAGACGCCTCTTTCCAGTGCCATGCTGAAACGCCATCATGTTTTTGGGGTACTTCTCACTAACCGCAGGTGGAAGATCCCCCGCACGGGGCCAGCGTTCCCGCAGGACATGTACTGGCAATAAGAGGCGGTGTATGGCGGCGAATAGCAGGGTGCGGGACAAAAGGGAGGTTGAATTTTTTGAGGAGGAAAGGGGTATGGAGGCGGATTATGGAAGGGGCTGGAAATGGAACAACGAAGGGTGTCTGGAGTACCCTGCGGGGGTGAGTGCTGTCAGCGGATTGCCAGGTGCATGTGCTATCAGCTATAGGCAGTATTGGGTCGGTTGGGGAACCCCGTGCAAATCCCTGGTGGTGACGTGTAAGGAGTGCTTTAATGTAAAGTGTCCAAAGGGTCCGGTTGCACCTTGTCACTCTTGACTGCCGACGATGTCACGAGATGTATTGTGGCCAGCACGGTGGCCTTAATGCTACGTTCTAGGATATGGAGAAGGTGCTGCATGTGCCTGCTACTGCTATTAGTAGGACTGCTGCACTGCAGCTGGTGCTACTGGTGATGCTATTGATGCTGCGAGGTGGTTAGACTGAGCACGCATATATTGCAGGCAACCGTTGTATCTGCGGTATCTGCGACAGTGCAAAGCGTTCCCGAGATCCAGAGGCCTTTTAATACGCTTGCAGCCTCCGGCTGGGTGGGTGGGGTGAGGAGTGGGTGCGGTTGTGGCGGAAACGGCCGGAAGTCGAACTATCTGTTAGCTTTCAGGCCCACATGCAAAAGGTTGTGGCGTGAGGGGAACGGGCCAGTTGCCGATGCTTCTTGTATCATGCATGGCGGTCTCGTCCTTGGCGTGTATATATCGCTGGCTGATTAGTATGGGGTTTGTACCACTGATGCTTCCCATGTAAAGTTTCGGCTCTTCACGCTTCACATGCTGACTTGTTCGTTTGTGGTCCTTCGACTTGCCAAGCAAAACTAGATTAAACTGAAACTAAAGCACGCAATGTCCTAAAAACTACATTTTTGAGTGCATGTACGTCGGAATGCTCCTGAAACGTCGAGCGTCGACCGCGACGGGACCACGGAGCCAGAACTGAAACAAGTGCCGTGTGCGCACTGTCTCAGCTTAAGACTGTAAGACTTAGACCAGTTCCTCCTTACTGCACGTGACGGGAGAACGCAACACAGGCACCTACGCAACTGTGTCTGGCATACGGTAGTAGCGAGAGTTAATGAGGCTTTCAGAGGCATTCCCATAGCGTGCCCTATGGAGTGTGGATGTAGAGGTGGACGTGGACGTGGGAGGTGGATCTAGTGGGTGGGGGGTAGATGCGGATTTCAGGTCCCGGCGATTTGCACTCCCCTGGGCGAGGGGACCCTCGCCCTTTTGCAGATGAAGAAAGGGAGGTGTGGGAGATGATGGGGATGAGCAGGAGCTTGCCATAAAAATACATACATGGTATACGCTATAAGTCTTCCCCGGTAGTTTCGCTGTGACGGGGTTGGTTGTGTGGGAGTTGGGTTAACTGGGAAGAATTATATCCCTGAATCATATCAGTGATGTATGGCGCCGAATCAACCGTCCGCTCGTTACAAGTTGTACCGGTGTGCTTCATAATTTACTGATTTCCAACAACGCTTGGCTTGGCGACAGGGATGTGAGGAGTGTGGTTGCGAATGCTCGTTGCGCCGATAAATGAACCCAGCGAGGGCTATTGGTCAGGGGCGAACCAACCCCGTTGTGCAGTGCAGGGTGGCTGGGGTTGGTAGCAAGACGCTAGGAGTTACGTAGGAATGAGGGAACAAGAGGGGGAACAAGAGGATGAACAAGAGGGAGGACTGGCGATGCCGATGCCGATGCTGCTGGCCCCCCCCAAAAAGGCATGCAGCCGAGTCGGCCAACGCTTCCTGTGCCAGGACAGGAACGCCTCAGGAGCGAGAAGAGAACACCTCATAAGCCGCGTGAAGAGTCGAAACTTTACATAGGGAGCACCAGTGGTACAAACCTCGTACTAAACAGCCAGCGATATACACATGCCAAGGACGGGGCCACCATGCATGATATCCACTTCTCACCCCACCCACCCAGCCTGAGGCTGCAAGCGTGTCAAAAAGGCTTTTGAAGGCCTCTGGATCTCGGGAACGCTTTGCATTGTCGCAGATACCGCAGATACAACGGTTGCCTGCAATATATGCGTGCTCAGTCTAACCACCTCGCAGCATCAATAGCATCACCAGTAGCACCAGCTGCAGCGCAGCAGTCCTACTCCTCCCGCTCGGGTGTCAAATCTGACGGGTCGCTTGGCAGGCCCTCGTATGCATCCCCGGCCTCGCCCTCATCCCCATCCGCCGACTCAGACAACAGCTCCTACAAACAAGCAGGCCAAGTGCGGACCGCGGCACAGCAGATTGCTTAGCGGAAGCGGCGCGAGGGGTTGACGTGCGCATACAATATCGTAGTAGTGCTGTTGGAAGCGTGCAGCTGGTCCTAGAACAGGCGGCACTGCTAGCTGCACAAACAATTAAAATGTCTCTCAACCTGAGCGCCGCGCAGGTCTTCATTGCATCCTAAAAAATGTGCTTGCAGTTCCGGGCTCCTTGCAGACGGTTCTCAAGGGGATGCTGCTGTGGGGCTGTGGCTTCTTTTTAGTCCCAATTCGCCCGCTTCTTTACAGCACTCCACTTCGCATCGGACACCCCACTGCCATGGGCTAACCTTCCAGGACGAACCCAATCAACAACCCCCTCAATCTTCACCCCGCGGCACCCGCACCTGGGAGATGGGCGGCAGAGGTGGCATCGAATCATCCCCGAAGATGGGCGGCCGCCAGTAGCGCTCGTGGAAGCGGATGACGGATTGCGCGTACCACTCGCCTCCAGCCTCCAGCCTGTTTGCAGTGGATTACATGGCGCCGGGAGCACGGTGTCACACCAAGATGAAAGGAAAAAGCGCATTAGCTGGGCGGCAAAAACACGCGGACCACAGAAAACAAGGTGCTTAAGTCGACACTTCTCTCCGAGGCATGCCACCAGAATAGAACCCCGACGCCGGCGAAAACAACAAACGCCGGCGCAAAGGAAAACAAAACAACAGCAGCTCACAGCCGGTGGTCGCGCAGACAACTCCCACAGCCTCGACGCGCGTGTAAATTCTTTTTCGTGCCTCCCTCTTCACACGCACTTTTTGCTGGACGCCACGTAGCCAGTTCCCATCGTGGCCACTCGCTCGTAGTCGGGCTCCTCGGCTAGTGCTGGCTGCTGCACAAACATGTCCCTGAAGCCCGCTCGCTGAATGAACTCAAAGTGAGTGCGGTTGCCGGGACACAAGTATACAGTGGCCTCCGCGGCACCGATGTACGTCACATCCACCGGCTGGCCTGTGGGGTGCAGGGCAAGGCCGGGTGGGGAGGAGTTAAACATCGCTCGCAATACGGAAGCTCCTCCTGCCTCCACAGCCCGTTGTGCCGCCGCCTCCACAACAGCCGCCTGCCAACAGCGCACCACTCCGTTTTACCCACCAGGCACACAACCTATCTGTCGCGGCGCCGGAGAGAAGCTGCGCTCCCCGGTTGACCCTGGGCCCAGTGTAACGGGGCCCCTCACGCACTCAACCACTACGTATGTACGCACGTACGTACCCCGGTAGTGAAGGTAATCCTCCTCATTGAGGGACAGCTCGGGGTGTCGCGGGTCGATGGTGTAGTCAAAAACCTAGGAGAGCGGGCGTCGGTCGAGCGGGCGTTGGTAGAGCGGTGTAGGGTAGCATACGGCGTTTTAGACAGTTTGTTCGTTCGTTGAAACGGGACGCCCTAAATTCCTAAGTCGCAAACACGCACACCCTAACAGTCTGCTTCTCAACACAACTCGCAGCCTGAACCCTTTCGAAAAGAAGCATGCGGCTCCCCAAACGATAAGAGGTTATGCGGGCCCACCTGACTACCTCCCAGGCCGAGCACTTTGATCCAATCGCTGCACTGGGGCTGCTGCAACGTCACGAAGCGAGCCAACGACGCGAGGTTGAAGCGCATGGGCGCGGATCCGGGCACGTCTGGGGAAGCAGGGCGGAAAGAGGGGAAGGAAGACAGACCGAGAGTACGACAGGGTTATGTCTGCGGGTTAGCAGGCGCCCTTGAGGGTTCCCAGGGCGGGGCAAGACGCAGCTCCCGTCCCCATGACCCTCCCCAGGAACATAAACTGCGAAGACTGAGGGGCACATCGCTCTAACAGGCGTTGAGGTCGGGGGGCCAACATGAAGGCAAGGTCCAACAAAACGAAACCCTAAGAACCTGTCGACCAATCCTTTGATCCACGTCCTTCTGCTCCTCTTGAGAGATACATCTGTAGAGGGATAGCGAGCGATGGTGTCGCCATGGCCAAGCGCCCTCACCTAAGTTCCGAACCCAGAACTCCTGCTTGATTTGTACTGCAGGAAGGTACGGCTCCGGCCGTACCGTGCCCGGCTCCGTCTCCACTCCCTCATCGTCGTCATAGCTGTCATCATCGTAATCCTCTTCAGCCTCGTCATCGTCCTCGGCGTTGGCGTCACCCGTAGCAGCCCTCTGGCTGCTCGAGGTGCCCGCCTGCTTTCCCGACCGGCCCTGCCGCTTTCTCCCCGGGCTACCCTGGGCACCCCAGGAGGAGAAAAACACAGAGTTGTTTCCACGAATCTGTTTATGAGTATGGCCCCATACTCTTTTCCAGGCTGTGACTGAGATAGGGCCCATGCGTGTGATATCGTACGTGTGAGTTGTAGGAGACGAGCAGGGGCATAGTTCAGGCGGCACAGCTCCACACACTGTCAGTCATGCCAAGTGCCAAAGGCGCCAAGCATCTGCTCGAGACCCCTCCCACGCGCCCAGTATTTCCCTTTCGTCGCACACCTCTCCACCCTACCTGCGCTTCATCGCCCTCGCCGTCCAGCGCCTTGTCGTCCCCCTGCTCCTCGTCTTCGTCGCCCATCGCCTGCCTGCCAACCACAAGCACATCCTCCTCCGTGCCCTCACCCTCGCCGTCCTCCTCCTCGTCCTCGTCGTCCTCCTCACCGTCGTCATCGTCCTCGTCGGGGTCGAGTCCCTGGCTAATCCTAATGTCCCTCCAGTCCTCGGCCGTCACGTCTTGGGTCATTAACGTGATCTAGTCAGCGCCACAGCACAGCAACCCAGCAGGCCAGATGTACATACAGACACAAGAAAAATATACAAGTACGGAAAACTCGAGAGGTTGAAAAGGAAGCGCAGCGCCGAAACTCCTGGCAAGCACCAACTTGATTACTAGTACTAAAAGCCAGCGAACAGAAGTCACTAGGACAGACAAGCACACTATGCGCAGCTCAGTTCATCGGATTGCACTCGGCAGGATTCGATCTCTGCGCATGAGGACCTGGCGCTTTATGACTACTTTTAGAAATGACTCCTGAGCACCCAACGGAGCTGGGCTTTGAAACCGATACACCATACGCGCCTTCACATTCCCTGGGACGTAGAGCGAACCAAACGCCCATCCGCTCGTCGTCCTAAGCAACCAACCAGCTCACCCACCTGCAAACCCACTCATACCCTTTACCCTCCGACCCAATGGCCCACTGATTGAGTCCCACCTTGTACAGCAGCTCGAACTTATGTGGCCACAACTGCCGTGTCTCCGTCGTATCTCGCAACCTTAATGTTATGCAGGGCGACAAGTCCGTGTCCACCACGTGGGAGGGGGGTGGCTCGTTGGCTAGAGCCGCTCGCACGGCCTCAGCTGCGGCAACCAATACACGCAACAAACACACACATGCCAATCACACACAAACGACCACATACATGTACACGTCATGTCTCGCCAGCGCTCTAAAACAGACCGGTTTTACAAGCAGAAAGCTTTTTCCTCCCACAGCCCATGGTATCCCAGAAACCACAGACCCGAATTCATAAGGCCTGCTTCCGACCCTTCTGTTTCAAACTCGACAACCCGGCCGTCTGCACTTCTTTTCGATTAAAGCCAAGCAGTTAATAGAGTAGGCAGAGAGACAGACAGACAGACATGCAGGCAAGGTGAGCACACGAGGAGCCGTGTCGCGTTGCACACTGCATCCGAGGAAGGCAATACCGAGCCCCCCGCCCGGCCCGCCACTGCCGCACCTGCTTCTCCTCCCTCTTTGGCCGCTAGCAGCATCTCCTCCGTCACTAGGCCATGTCCCTGCAAGAAGTCTAAGTAATCCTCCAGCTGCTCCAACATCTCGGGGCAGTCAAAACCCTGAGAAATAAAACGAGAGCAAAAAAAGGAGAGAAAAGGACCATCAGGACAGGACATCACGGGAAGAGCAGGATTTAGACTCGACTCAAAGGAGGAAGTGAGCAGGAGAATACAGGCGCAGAGAAGATGCATACACACATCACTCAAGTAATGCGAGGGAGGGAGTTCATCGGCTTGCGCTGTGTGCCGCCGTATTCGGTTATCAGGCCGGTAGGTTACCACAGCGCTTGTGGTGGGGTCGTGCAGAGCAGAGCAAACGGGCCCAAGAGCACAGCCCAGGGCGGGGCCGCCCGGGGGCGGAGGGTCCGCAGCGCGAGTACTTTGCGCTAAGCGGAGCGTTTCGCCACTAGGGAGGTCTAAGTAATCCTCCGGCTGCACCTCCACACCCATGGAAAACGGACCCGCTCAGCAAAGAGCAACACCTTCCATTCGTTTCCGAAGCCCGGGTGTTTGGGTGCTCGTTTGCGTTCATTGTGTCGTTATGCAGTCTATAGTCCCCGGGCCGCGGGCACGGGCTTTTCCGTGTCTCACCATGCCCCTGTCCCTCCCCTTCCCTCCCCTCCCTTCCCCTCCGCCTGCCCCCCCCCTGCATGGGCCTCACCGCGCCGACCACCTCCCACATCATGCAGTCCGCAAATCCGTGTTCTGGCAGCATCCCCTCTCGGTGCTGCGGGAAGTGGAGTGACACACCGGTCCTAGGGAACCAAGGCACGGCAGGAGGGCGGACGTGGGGAGGGAAGAGGGTGCCGGCGGAGAGGGATTCAAGGAGCCGCAACCCAGGTGGGCAAAGACGGGGGAAGGCAGGCGGGGCCGCGCAGAGTGGTGTGGGCCACAAGCGTGGGTTATACACACGGTCATGCGGCAAAGATTTGCCAGTAATTGGCGTAAAGGAGAAGGGCGGAACGCGCCGCCGCCTGAGTGCCGGAAAGAACAAGGTGGGCTGGGTGGGCAATGCTTGCTGTGTGAACGCGACATATTTGGCAGGCGGGCCATGTGGGGGCTCCTGTGCTAGCAGGACCCGCGCTTAGGAAGGCGTACCGGAGAGGGAACCCAGCCTCGTATAGGTGGTCGGGTCCGTCGTAAAATGTCGCTGTCCCGTCACTTTTGAGCCACTGCGCGATGGTGGCGCCGTACAAGTACACCACGAGCTGCATGCCGGTTTGCGGGTGAGTAAGCAAAACGGTGGGCAGGTCTCCCTGCCCCGTGCCAAATTCAATTGCCCCCAGTATCGCCCACTTCGCGTTGAGGTCATCCACGTCCCTGGATTTGGAGAATTAAATAGTTCAGATGTTGCTTGCAGTTGACGAGGTAGGCCGTACAATCGAATGTGCTGAAGCACGTAACTTACACGTACTCCCCATCGAATTCGCTGCTCGTTTCTCCAATTTCCTGCGCAACTTGCCGCTGCTGCCGTTGTCGCCGAGCAACTCTTCGCCAAAGCGGCGGCTGAGGCGACCGGTCGGACTGTGGCCGCTGCGGTGCTGATAACAGACGTGACACTGCATTCGATAAACAAAATTATTTCAATCGGTAGGATAGGTAAACGAAATATTGGCTACGGGATTATTCGTGCCTGGCGCGACAGCTTGTAGAAGAACCGCTCTCCGTAGTGAACGAGACCTATATAAAGCATGAGAGCATTTGATTGCACGCCCGCTGCTGCTGCAATCCAGGGAGCCTCTCATGGCACTGCTTGCCATCCTTACTTCCCGGCGTTCACAAGCGAACATCTTTGAAACAACCGTCAGGTAAGTAAGATGTTTCTTGCAAATGACAAAAATCTTTCTAACTGTTTTGGGTTGCTGGTGCGCTGCGATTGTGTTTACCGGTTCATGCTTCGTTTTTTTCGTTACCGAGACGCCCCGAAACCATTGCACATTGAGGAGCTTTGGGCATACATGACCAAAATTCTAACTTGTTTTGCGTCACAGAACAGGCTGCCTCATTACCATGTCGGAGGAGCATTTCTTGAGTGCCAGGAGTGACGTATGTTAGTCTGGCTGTAGGATCGGCCCTTGGCAGAAGCTTTGCTAAGCTAAGTATTCTGGCAGATTCTAGCTCTTTATAATTTCCAATCTGTGTTAAACACAGATTGGAGCCAGGTATATGTGCCATGCCAAACTCGGGAAACAAGTGGTTCGGGCGCTCATAGGGCGTCGTGTGCATGTGTCATGTGCACAGAGAAGTGCAACGGAACCCTAGGGAGTTAGGGACAACGCAGACCATAGATAGTGCGCACGCCTGTCTATCCTGCTGTAACCCTAACTGCACCCATGTAATGTCGGGAATGGTGAGAATTGCTTCAGCCTCTTGAAATTTGCATGGCAGACCCTGATTGCACGCGGTAACCTCGCTCTCCTGCCGGATATGCCCAACGGCTGCAGTTGGGCATTCCACAGGCTCTGGAGATAGGCAGGCTTAGGTTAAATTTTCTACAGGATATCTAACTTGCTAAGAGTTTATACCCACCGTTCTAGCTGTACTAGAGAAGTTTCATTTGCGTGTAGGTGTTTGGTTCCAGAGCGTTCTTTGGCAACCGGCAAAGCATAAACTGGCAAGCATAGGAATCTAAGAAACAGCTACGAGATTTGCGTTACAGCAGGCCTCGCTCTGTATTCCAAAGTTATACGGGCACGGCTAGCTCTAGGTGCCGCCTTGTTTCCGGAACGTCTTTGCCGGCCTCACCCGACTAGGTGTTGGCAACATGCCGGAAGAGGCTAACAGCAAGATACCCATCACCGTAGTTACAGGGTTCCTTGGTAGGATGACCGCTGCATTATAGGGGGGAAACTGTCGTTGATCACCACTTGAACGTTTGGCGTGGTTGTGCAGGAGCCGGAAAAACAACTCTTGTGAACCACATATTAAACGCTAATCATGGGAAAAAGATTGCTGTTATCGAGAATGAATTCGGCGAGGTGAGAACGGTAAACGACCAGTAAATGGCCCCAATTAGGAGCAACATGTAATGGAAAGCATATGGAACTACATCTGCGTTCCTCATGATGAAACGGTAGGGACTGGAGGTGACTGAGCAGCTACAGCAAGCGGCTGTGCCTCGACGGGAGGTTAGGACGCAACCTTCGTCTGGGTCTTGCTGTGGCCACAGCCGGACGCACCCGGACGGACGGCACCACCCGGTGCTGGACTGTAATCCTCTGCACCAGCTTCTTATGGGCGAAAAGTGCAGTTCGCCATGCGTGCTTAAGCACCATTTCGCTGTTCGGGTTTTCCGGGTCCACCCGCATGCTCGCAGGTTGGGATTGATGATGCCCTTGTCATGGAGAGCAAGGAGGAGATTTTCGAGGTACGCACCTAATGAGTCCCCCGTTCTTGCTGAGAGCTCTTGTTGAAGAAGCGCTCTCAAAGTGCCAAGGCCATGTCGCATATCCCAGGGGCCCAGCATGATGCCCCGCTCTTCAACAGCATCTCGTGGGCCCCATGCCGCGAAGTATCTGGCAGCCCGTTACAATCGCAAAATGTTCTACCTATAAAGACGGCACAGGACCTACTTGACCCACCTGTCCTGGAGGCCCCACATGTGCACGGCTCGTGGATGACACCCCGGGGCTGAACCATGCCTGGCCAGCCCCCGGCGCACTCACCGGGGCGCTGAACAGTGTTGGTCCTACTTGCACTGCCTTCTCTTTCTTCGCCTTCGCTGCAGATGAACAATGGCTGTGTGTGCTGCACGGTGCGTGGGGACCTGATTCGCATTCTCAACAAGCTCATCAAGCGCAAGGGCAAGTTCGACGCTATCATGATGTGAGTATGTGGTGATGGTGGCGAGCTGATCAGGGCCCTTGAGTGACGCTCCTAGGCCACGACTGGCTGTGAGCATCAGGCTTACAGCCATTAACGTGAGCGATAGACAGACAGACAGACAGACAGGCAGGCAGGGACATACACAGCTGCTTTCGGCGGGTTTTTCACACCTTAGGGACTCAGCCTTCGCAGCTTGTCGGTAACCCCTGTGGATGTTTCGATTTGTCGTTGCAAGGGTGCAAGGGTGCGCAGGAGGCACGCAGGAGTTTCCACCCGCCCAAGTGCAGCACATATTGTATCACAATATGTTTGCTCCCAAGAACAATTCGTGATGGCATCTGGCGATGGGCCCTTCCCTTAACTCGTGGTTTGCAGTGAGACTACCGGGCTTGCTAACCCAGCGCCCGTGATCCAGACCTTCTTCGTGGATGAGAACATTAAGGTAGGGCAGAGCTGAGCTGGGCTGCACTGGACAGGAACACAGTGGTGCGTCCTTGAAGCTGGTGTCCTTGCACACGGAATCCTTCAAGCCGACGTTCACAATCTTGGCAGCGTGCCTCCAGCTGAGTCCAGGGTTAACGTTCCGGCTGGACGGTGGTGTGGGACATGACGTAACTGCCGGTTGGTACCCCTTCTTCCGCCCGCCCTGATTGGAAACCCGGCCGCAGGACGCCTGCGTGCTGGATGCCGTGCTGACGGTGGTGGACGCCAAGCATGTGATGCAGCACCTCAACGACGTCAAGCCGGACGGGGTGGTCAACGAGGCCGTGCAGCAGGTGGCATTCGCGGACAAGATTCTCCTCAACAAGACTGACCTGGTCTCGGCCGAGGAGCTGGAGGACGTCAAAGAACGGATCAAGGCAAGGGAGTTCCTAGGGATTTGACACGTAATGCGCTTTCGGTGGCAAGAGCGCCATGCGGGGCTGAGCGATCTTGTGGGTGCCGGCGAAATCGCGGCCGTGCATTTTTGGTTGCTGCCAAGATGATTGAAGCAGCAACAAGGAATTCGGTACAGCACTATCTGCGTCTCATGGCAGATGGTTCCTCTAATTGCCTGAAGTCACGAGACGCCCAAGATGACAGTTGTTGTTGTTGTTCCCCTAAAGTGCGGCGACGGTCATTCCATGACCCGGTGCTCTTTACGTGCAGCACATTAACAAGCCTGTCGAGGTCATCGAGTGTCAGCACAGCGCGGTGGATGTGTCACGGCTGCTGGGCATCAATGCCTTTTCTCTTGAGCGGCTGCTGGCCATGGATCCGGAGTTCCTGGTGGGTGCGGCGGCCTCAGGGACCACGGGGTACTGCGGTTAGGCTGTCATCTAGATGATCGGATGAGTGGGAAGGGTTTCATTGCCTGGGTCGCGGGAAAAGGGATGTTCCCCCACAGATGTCGGGGAGGGCCTGGCAGCATGTCTGATTGTGCGGATGAGCCACCATTGAGTTTGAGTTGCAGGGTCGAAACTGAGGCGGCGTCTAGTAGCATAAGTGGACTATTGGAATTATGCTGCGGCTGAGGTTTAGCGACGAGATGGTGGCTGGCCTTGGCGGCCATTTTATCGTCCTCGTCCAGAAGCCCCGCTGCTGAGGCTGAGGCTGAGGCTGCCGGCAGATCTGACGCCATGGAATGGATATAGCTACAGAACCGACAGTGGTGTTGCCGAGGCTTCACATTTCTTATTCTGCAGGCACCTGCTTTCCCAGAGAACTTTGTCACAGGCGTTCTGGGTTCTGATGCCGTGAGCGCAGGAAACTGGCGAGGATCACGATCACGGCCATGATCACGAACACCACCACCATCACCACGGCCATGACCACAAATGCGACGAGCAATGCAAGGACGGCAAGCACCACCACGAGCATGACGAGGAGCACCGTAAGGAGGGGAAGCAGGGGAAAGGCAAGCACGAGCACCACCACGACCACAAGCACGACGACCGTGTGACCAGCGTGGGTTTCCAGCTGGAGGGCGAGCTGGACATGCAAAAGCTAAATGTGTGGCTGTCAAAGCTGCTGCAAGAGCGCGGACCAGATCTCTACCGTTCCAAGGGCATCCTGTCCATTATGGGCTCCAGTGACAAGTGAGTGAAATGGAGTGGACGCAGAGCTACGTTATGATGAACCGGTTGTATCCTGAAGGAACGACGCAGGTTCACCGGTGTTGCCCGCACCCGAATACAGTGTACGCCAGCAACGGCAGGGAAGGTCCAGTGTATCCCATTGGATCTACTGTAATGGAATGTTTTGATTTGGTTTCAGTCGTGGCTATGCCATTGCTTGTGGACGAGAGGCCGGTGTCAGGGAAGTGGGCTATAAACGTGGACGGAGGCTGGGGAGGAGGTTCCGATATCCTCTGAACCTCGGGTTGCTGTCCCTTGCAGGCACGTCTTCCAAGGGGTGCACATGCTGCTGCAATTCTCCTCGAGCGCGGAGGGTGTAGGGCGACCATGGAAGGAGGGCGAGAAGCGCATTAGCAAGGTGGTGTTCATCGGCAAAAATCTTAAGCGGGAGGAGTTGCTGGAGGGGCTGCAGTCATGCCTGGCCAAGTGAGTCCCACCAAAGCAGCAGCGGCGGCGGTGAGTGTGCGGCATGCCATGCTGCGGCCGCGCGGGGCTTTCCATGCATTGCTTGGCTCGCTATTGGGTTTACTGGTTATTTAAGACCAGGGGAAGAGGTCGAACTGCTCCCAAGACCTCGTGAGACACCGTTTGCTTAAGTGCAACGTGTCTTCGCCATCCGGCTCAGAATGTCCTACATAATCTTCCAGCATTCACCGCGACAGCCACCTGGCTAACCGCCTGGCAGGACCGTCGTCCCCTTAAGCACGCGCTACCGCCTCTTGACACGCGCGACCGTGCCTTGAGTCTTCTGGATCTTTGTGCTGCTTGTAATGCGCTTCAGACGGATATGTTTGTGTGACTTCTTTTGTTGGTCAAATACAATGCTGTTCGTACGCAATTAGAAGCCCCTAACGATGGAACCCGTCTTGTACGCTTTGTTTGCTTCGCAGGCCCGATGAACCTGCCATGAAGAAAGCCAGGATAAGCGAGGAAATTGATACGGAGGTGGTGTCCTAGGTTATATTGAGTGTGGTAACGTCAGGACAGCCATGCCGGCCACGAGTAAGGAATCTGCAGACCATACACGGGAGCGTGCGTAGGATGTCACCGTCGAGTTGATGCAGTGATGAAGCGATACATTTAGGTAACGTGTGAAGACATATCTGATGGCTATATAACAACGGTAGTAGTAGTCCGGAAGCCGAAACATGGTTTGGAAGTTGTAACCTGGGGGTTGTTACTCATGACATACGTACATACGTAATGACATGTTTTTGTAACCAACGGAGTCTGTTGTTAGTCCTTTCACTGCCTGTATCGACCGCGCAATCGTGGTAATACCTTTCCACCACAATTGAGGAAATCAGTCACCGAATCCTATGACTCCAACCAGCTACCCTCGGCTGCTGTCCACGCGCCACCATCCCCACCTTACACAACTGCCAGCACATACGCGCGGAACAGGTTCGCGACCGAGGTTCCTTACATGGAGCAAGACCTCAGCTCATGACAAGGAACCCCGTCAAACATGCATTCCACAACTCCAGAAACGCTGGCAAGGAAGCCGTGTCTGCAGTCTTCACCGTGACCTGCATGTTGCCGGTGTCCGACCGCAGCAGCAGCTCCACAAGGTACAACGCGGCCGACTGGCCAGCGTTCTGTCCGTAGAAATAATACCTGGGAGGTGGAGAAAGTAAACGAAAGGCGTCGTGGATGGCAATAATCTTGATAAGCACGACCGGTAACCAAAAACATGATCGTAATTCCTCTCAGAAGACGCTAGCCTCGCCATAGTCCAAGAACACCTGGCTCCTTGCGCTTTAACACCCCGAAGGCATATAGTAATCTATTCGATACAGATCGGTGGGGAGCGTGTTGCGGACGACGTACTCCTGACGGGCATATACGCGCGGCTACAAGACAGCAGTGTTTCTGCACATGCGAAAAGGAAGCGCGTCCTGCCTGCTTTTGAGCAGGGCTGCCGTTTCGCTACCGCACCTGAAGCTGGGCGCCTGGCCACCGCTCGCAATGGTGTGGATGTACGCCTGTGTCATATGCTGTGTGAAGTCGCGGTGGTTGTTGGCGACAATGGCCGCAACCGTGGCAGGGCTAACACTGAGTGTGCTGCAGTGTGCGGGGGTTAGGCGCTTCCACTCCTCCTGAAACGCCCCGGCGGCAACGCGGGCCTGTGCACACGTGACGAAGAGGGAAACAGAAAGGACGCTGAGGCAGCTTTTCACATCAGGAAGGCGAGGCCGCGGGGAACACATGCATTTAGGAGGATACGACAAAATGCCACTACTAGAGAAATACACTACTGCGACCTCCCAAGCGCTTAATAACGCTGTCCAGGTGCCTACAAGACGAATAACCCATTGCATCATGAAGCCATGTACGATTCCTTCTATGCATGCAAAGTGACCCCGCGATAGCTCACCTTGGGGTTCAAGACCAGCTCCGGCACAGGTGCGGGAGGAGCCGGGCCAGCAGCTGTTGGCAGCCCCAGCCCCACGCCGTTATCGACGAAGAAGTTGCCATGACCAGGTATCCCTGGCCCGATGCCTGCCATGGGCCCAGGAGCAGGCTGGCCCGCATATCCGCCGGGGATGCCTCCCAGCCCTCCGACCGCTGATGGCTGCATGTGCTGCCCAGGTGCAGCAAACCGCCCACCCAACGCCTGCTGCTGCGTTAGCGGCGGCGGATGGGACAGGGTCTCCCCGCCGAAGCCACCAAGCAGGTCCACAGCTGGCGGCGGAGGCCGCTGCAACGGCGGCTGGGGCCCGGCCGCTGAACCTAGCCCGGGTCCGGGTCCTGCTCCATAACCGCCAGCGTTTAATGGCACTGCTGCGGCGCTGCTGCCGCCAGTTGTTGTGCCGGCGGTGATATCCAGGTCCAACAAGTCCGCACCAACACCCACCAGGTCCGCTCCGTCCGCATCCGCAAGCAGGTTCGTGGAGCGGTCGGCACCTAGTAGCTCGGGGGCTTCTAGGGCAAGCAGGTCTGATGGGGGCCATCCAGCCAGGAGGGCCAAGAAGGACGTAGGGATCATTCGCGTACACGTTCGAGCACATTTTGGAAAAAAATGACCCTTCTGCGCATTTTAGCTTCTTTGGCCAGACTAAGGGCGCGGAGGAGAACATTTACCTGTGGTCGGCGCCTGGCTGGGCGGCTCCGGTTCGGCCTCGAGGGAATGGTATGGCTGGCGCTCGATGAAGGCCGCCGCGGGCTGCGGATAATGCATTCGGGGACGCCAACCGATCAGGATGGCACGACACGGAAACCGTTAGATACCCTGGAAATGGTGCTGTTCGAACCGCCACGCAACCGCCAGAACCCCGTTCATCCGCAACCTTACAGAACAACCGGCATAACCAGCTTCACAGGAAGACGCCCCCTGAATGCAGCCATAGATGCTTCATCATTGCCACCACAGTGGTCGAGCCGCAGTCGTAGCCGTGTGGCTGTAATGCATGAGGGCCATGACGCACCTGCTGGAAGACAACGCTCAGCGTGTTGAACTCCGCAAAGATGGCTTCCTTGGCCTCCGGTGACAGCGCCTCACTGAACCAGGGCACCACTAGCAGGGGGGGAGCCACCACACGCTCCGCTGCGGCTGCGTCTGTCCTGAGCAACCTGCGAGTACGAGTACGGCCAGCCAGGAAGCAACATGCAGTAATGAGCAGTCTCTCTAAACCGTAATCATTAACCAAGCGCTCGAGTAACCTATTGCAGTAATGTAAATATGCACTCGACGCGACAAGTGCGCCGTCGCTCAAGTGAAGTGGCCAGCGGCTTGTGGAAACAATCCGCGGACAACAGCCAGCACCAGCAGCCTCCCGCGGGCCAGGATGGAGTTGGCACACAAGGGCCACAAGTCCGAAGCTGTGAACCCTTTCGCTGGAAGCCAAAGGAGGCGCCAATGCCTCCGACAAACCAAAGCACCGACTCGCCACAGCATTCTGCACCTGGTGGACTTGGTGTGCCCGGTAAGTGTGGCTGCCTACCGTGTGCCCACCACAGAGAACCGGCCCCGCCAAAAGCATCCGTACCTGTAGTACATCAACGCCCGGTCGCGCACATCAGCGTGGCTGTCGGCAATGCCGGCAGACAGCGCCGTCCCCAGAATGGGTTTGACCTCGGCCGGTCTCCGGAAGAAGAGCTGCACGGCCGCCGTTAGGACCGCCAGACGTACCGAGGGGTCCTCCGACGCGAAGCCGTCTACGAAGGGCTCCAGAAGGTAGGGGGCGTCCTGCAAGGAGACACCACCAAATGGACGTGTACAAGAAACGGACCAACAGTCACAGCATCAGGCAGCCGAGCCGCGCTTGCGAAGCCCTTCCTCCTTTTACCTTTTGCTCCCTTTGTCCCCTTTCTTCCGCGTCCGCACACTCACATTGCACGCCCCACCACACCACACCTCACCGGGCCCGCGTCTGGTCCTGTCTGGCATTGGCTGGACTGTTGCCTAGAGGCCATGCGACCGTACCATCCGCCAATCTTAAGAGTTACGTAGGTGACCAACACAAGCCACACCGGATTTGAGTGAGGCTCCTCCCTCTCCTCTCCTGCCTCACCTGCACCAGGCCGCCAAACTGACCCAGGATCCACACGAACGCAGCTCGCGCCGCCGGCTCGGAGATGTTGCCATGCACCGCCAGGTCTCCCAGGCTGCCCACGCACACATGCGCCACGTCCGGGTAGCGCCTGAGCACGTCCTTGAGCTGCACCAGCGCCTCCGCCACCAGATGCTCGGAGCTGCCGTCCAGGAACATGAGCAGCCGCTCCACGATGCCACCGGAATCGGGGACTGTCAGTGCGATACGACCCACCTGCAAACATGTAGGTTGTCATGAGGCGCGAGGAGGGACACTACCGCAGATACGACGGAGACTGCGGAACGTGTGCAAGTGCCAAACACCCCAACCAGCCCCCACCCACCGCACGGACAGCCTCGCGGGCCATGGTGGGGCTTATGTCACGAGCATACTCGGTAAGCTCTGTGACGATGTCGTACACATTGGACGTGCTTGCGATTGCCGCCAGGATCTCCAGCTTGAGCTTCTTGACGAACCACGGGTCGTGCGTGCGGCAGAAGAATGCCACCGCATCATTCTCGAAAATCATTGGCGCACGCTGCACCAGCAGCAGCACGTGCGACAGCGCCGCGTAGGCGGTGGGCGCGTCATCCCTGCTGATGAGGGTTTTGACGGGCTCCCGGATGCGCTCCAGAACCTGAGATCGAATACCGGGTGCAAACAGGTGCGGGTGAAGATAGCGCGAATAAGCATGGGTAGACAGGCCACCATGGTGGCATATTCACTGTGCAAATCACCCGACGGGCGGTGAGCAGGTACCCACAGTACCCACAGGAAAGCAAGAGCTGTGGCGCGGGCGCAATAACCCAACTGGCCTTGTGGCGAAAACACAGGCCCTACACCAGCAGTCATCAATGGCCGTGCCTGCACACAAAAGCTGAAGCGTGTAATGCTGCAGGGATGCCTGGACTGGCTGTAACCAAGCCTATGGAGCCGGCGCTAGCGGCCCAACGCGCAGCGCGAAACAACGAGAATCCGTATTTCGCAGCCTCGATCCAAGAGCCCGCTGCCGCAGCACTTCCACCCACCATTCAACACCCCCATCTCGACCACCACTTCCGCCGCCACCAGCAGCAGCACCACTTCGGGGTGCAGTACAGTCAAAACATCCCCTCCCCAAAGATCCCAACACGGACCATTCACCTCCAGGCCAAACTACAACATTCCCTCCCTACAACCATCATCCATCCCTCCGTGCAACCTCTCCCCCCCACACACACACATCGCCCCAAAGGGCTGTTCCCAGTCCCCAGCCCTTCACGAACCTGCTGATGTGTGGCCGTCATGTTAATGGTGAGGCGCAAAAACACACCGATGGTGGCCATCACCACGGCGCTGTTCACGTGGCCCATACGGTCCTCCAGCGCGTTAAGCATGTCATACACCTCCGCCTCGGAGGTGGGCGTGTAGTGGGTCGCCAACTGCAGCACCTGGCACTGACCCCAGTCGCTGAACTCCTGAGAGAGGTAAACATAACGGTGGGAGTTGCGCTGGTCGCAAGGGAAGTGGCCAGTGAAAAGAGCAGGGCGCAGGCGACGACGAGGGCCGGGAAGAATAGAGCGCATCACTTCGTATTGTCCCACAGAACAAAACCGCCTGATGCCGTCTATGGGGACCACACACCGTTCTGGTACGATGGAGACCAAGCACATTATCCTGGATATACGTTACGTCCCCGGCATGGCATGGCATGGCTGGCAACGAGCCATGCCGTTTTTCTCCAGCGCACCTTGATGCGGTTGAGAAGTGAGTACACGAGCGCCTTCTCCGCCAGACGGCTGGGTGGCTCCAGCTGCGACAACACGGGAGGTTAGGGGCGCGCGGGCACCGGACCGGGGCGGCAGTGCATCCGCAGCAGCAGCAGCAGTGATATGGACATCCTGACGAGCGAAGGCTTGCACAGGGGAGTTGGCAAAGTCAGAGCTGGTGGTCGAGTGCGCATTGAGCAACTCGAAGCCTTGGCTTCCAGTGCACCCAGCCGGGCCCATCTGGGTTACCTTCAAAGTAACATGCCTGGAATTGGGTCTCACCCCTCGCCCCAAGCTCCTCTACCTCTTGGGCCCCATGTGTGCGTGTGGCACGGCCTAACTGGGTGGCTCAAGTCCGCACCAGGTCGCGGGGGGAGGTCAGGGGAGAGGTCAACGCCAACCAAGACTTTGTCCGAAAGAGCACGTGGCTGATCACTTCCTACCTGCATGAGCACCGACAGGCAGTTTGCGATGACTTGTACATCCGTGTCAGTGGCCAGGAGCCGCTTGACTTGCACCACCATGCCTGCGCCAGCGCAGGGAAGGGAGACAGGAGCTGTCGTCGGGTCCTGAGCACCGAATTGCATCACCAACGCCCCTCGTCATGCCGCCTGGTTGATGCTCGGGTGTGAAGCCGGGCAACCCCTGCCAGTGCCCCACCCCCCGCCGCCTACCGTGCTGCGCGACCGCTGTCGAATCAATGTGATGCACTTTGAGGACGCCCATCACTGCCGTACGCCGTACGTACGGATGCCGATCGCCGAGTCCCGTCATAATTGGCGTAACCTACCATCCCGGGGCAGGTCCGGGAGAGTACAGGGAACAGGATAGGTGGCGACGATAGATTGGAGGCCCTAAGCGGTTGGCCGGCATTTGCATGGGCGGGATGGCTAAAATGATGCTGACAGCTACACGCAGGTGTTGGTAGCTGTTCGACCCCGTTCCTCCCCTTGGAAAGAGGGAAGCTAGGCTAGGCATACCAAAGTGTTCAACAAACCGATATGTAGTATTGCAAGCGAGCCTTGTTTTATTTCCCGCCCAAGGCCCAGGCCACCCTTACCCCGCACATTACCACCCATCCCCTTACCCACCTCACCCTAACCCAGACACGTGCAACTCCGGCAGCTCCGTGTCTATGGGCCCCACGTCCTATCATCCAGTACCCCAATATGACTCGAAGACCTTGCGCCCGGGCTCACCACGTACTCCAGGAAGTTGGCAACGCGCAGCGAACACAGACTGCGCAGAGCAAGACCCCGAATCATGGGATCTTGGTCTGCATAGTCTTTCTGCAGCTGGTTAATTGTAAGCAAGGCTAAATCTGGTGTCTGTGAGGCGTAGTGCGTCAGGTACAGGTAAAGCATCTTTTTCAGGACCAAATCATCGGCGCTCAGGTTCGCGCACGACGTCATCATGGGGAAAAGGCCGGACATGTCCATGCCCAGAGTCATGTAGTTAACAACCTTCCTAAAGACATCTTTCTTCGCGTTCCGAAGCTCTCGTTCAGTCCGCTTTCCTGCTGTGCAAAGATTCTGCAGCTGAGCGCTAAGCTCTGCTAGCTCTCCACGAGGTTTGTTTCGTGCTTCAGCCATAACAGCTGATACCCCGTCTCCCCAGCAGGGTATTATAGATGCTGTATCCCGTCTCCCGGCAGGATATCAAAGATGCAAACTACAGCTCCTCAGCGTTGATTGGACAGGTGAGCCAATCGGCAGCTTGTTGTATACATTGGTTCGTTAAAGTATTTCGAACCGGAAGTCCACCTCTGATACATTAGCAGGATCGGGCTATCCAGTAAGGAACATCAGATTGATTTCAATGTTCATGTTGCTACCTTTTAGCCTACCACCGTTGAGGATACTGTATGCTGATAGCCACATAACAAACGACACCATCAGTTCTTTTCGCGATTGGACGTTTTCAGTTGCCTGCAACACTCTTCTAACGACCACGGACGCCACCAATGGCCAATCGGCAAGCCAGGGTTGCCTTGCCGCTGTGCTTAAATATGAAATATGCATTCCCGTTGTCGATCACTCCTATCGGCTGCACGATCGGTCCCTACCCCGTTCTGCTATCACGGTAGCGCCATACGTATCGCCGGTACCAAGGTCCGTGCCGTTTCTCAAAGATTTCGGTCTTTGCTGGAAATCTGCGTAATCGGGTTGCTCGCACCATGCTGTAGTTTCCGGAGCGGAGGTAGTTCCTTTAAGCACTGCAGTAATTCTTAACAGTGTGCCTCACAGGTCTTCAGGTCGCAAAAGTTGAACTCCACCATCACGGCGGCAATGAGTTCCATGGGAGGCGACGACATCGAGATAGACGACCAGGCCATTGCCAGGTTTCAGCGGCTCGTACCCAGACTCGGTACGCTCCGGACCCCGGCAAAACTTGGGATGATATAAACTGTGCGGACATGCACGCTTGATTTCATTAGCTGGCGCATGTGACGCAACCAACGGTTCTCCCTAGCTGCCTTCGGTGCGTTGCTGCTCGGTCTACGCGTGTTGCTGATGCAGGTGGCAACTACAAGGGCGCCCACGGCAAGGTGGCGGTCGTGGGCGGCTGCCTGGAGTTCACAGGCGCGCCCTTCTTCGCTGCCATGTCCGCGCTGCGGGTACGTTGGCAGCATCGACCCATGGTTCACCCGCCCTAGCTTTCTGCCATAACGGACAGGACAACTAACCCAAAAGCCAAGAGGTTGCCTTGCCATACATTTCAGCACAGACTGCCATGCGCAATCCGGTGCTTGACGAGGTGACGGGGTTAAAAGGAGCCCGCGTGACGTGCAGCGACCTGTGACATAACATGCTGTGGTACGCTGCGCTGCTTGCTGTGTCGAAGTCCGTGCCGCGACTTACCCCCTCCCCTAGTCATTGGCCCTGTCATCCCTCCATCTTTCGGTGGAGTCATTCTCGGAGTGAGCGGTGGTCTTCTCCTTTACCTTCCCTTACCACCCCAGGTAGGTGCTGACATGGCGTACGTCATCTGCACGCCGTCCGCCGCAACGGCCATCAAGTGCTACAGCCCCGAGCTGATGGTGCTGCCGTACCTGCCGGAGATGCCGCCCGGTGAAGAGGACGGCCCAGTGGATGAGGTGCGGCCGCCCGCGCGGGGTGCCTGATTCGGCTCCTCGACGGTGCAGCTTGCGACCGTGTCCGCTTTCACGTCAGTCTTCCTCGCATGTCGCATCCCTCCAAGAGGCGGCGCGGCCTGACACTGGGAAGGGCAAGGGAGGAGCCGGCTCCTTGCCGATGTTCCCTGTGATGTGCTCCGCGCTTGCCCCCTCGTTCTCATAACGGGGCAAAGCTTTTGACCCGCGTGGGGGATCTGCCAAGAGCCAAATGGAGGGCGCCCCGAGCCTGTCCTTCTCTCCTCCACCGCCGTTCAACTTCTGCAGATTACTGCCGTAAAGCCCGATACGTCTGTTACCACGTTGCGACGTTGAAGACTGATCCTGCGGCTGTTGCTGCTCCTCCACCCCGTTCCTCGGGCTCGGGTGGGTATGTTATGTAGGCGGCAGTGGCTCGGGCCGTCTCCCGCATCCTGCCTTGGATCTCTAGGGCCTCAGCTGTGGTGGTGGGCCCTGGCCTGGGCGCCGACCCTGCCGTATGCTCCGCCTCACGGCAGCTCATGCTCGAGATCAGAAGGCTAGGATTGCCGCTGGTGGTGGACGGAAGCGCCCTCACCCATATCGTGGCCAAGGCGAGTTTTCGGGTCTTCGTCCACGTGGGCTTGGTTCCTTGCGGAACTGGTGTTGCGCCCCCGACATGTTGGGGGGGCGGGAAAATCGTCCCTTGGCGCGAGCCGAGTGCCGGATGGTGGATGTTTGTGGGGGCGCGCTGCTGACACGGTTGGGATGGCGCTGTGGCGGTCGGGACCTTCCACATTGCGCCCGCCCGCGGGGGAATGGAGCAGGGGCCCCGGAGACTGATGGGTTGTAGCTGTGGTGCTGTATCGCTCGTCTGGCGGCGCGCGGCCAGGCTGAAGATGACGACAAGATGACGATTAGGCCCTGTCTGCAGTCTCCCTGTCTGTCTCTCTGTCTGTCTGTCTGTCTCCCTGCCTGTTTATCTGTCTATCTGTCCGCTCAGGAAGGCACCAACCGTTGCTGTTAAGACCAGCAAAGCGCCGGACCCCGTTGGGTCCTATTACTGTGGTTACCATTCACTGGTATTATATGAGTAGTGTCGGTCACTTCCAACACGTCCCTCTGTCGGTCCAATCCAAGCCTGGAGTCACCGGAGCTGTTGACGCGCACCTCAACAGCCGTAACAGCGATGCCCTGTGCCCTGCTGTGCTCTCCACCTGCGCCCGGATGAATTCCCCTCTTGCGCCGCTGCTGGCTCCAGGCCGCTGACACGGTGATTGGCTACCGGCCCTGCATCCTGACACCCAATGTGGCGGAGCTTGGGCGCATAGCGGAGGCAGTTGGGCTGCAACTGCCGGGCCAGATGTCGGACGCCTGGCTGGAGCATGCCCCGAGGGTGGCGCAAGGTGAGCGAAGCTGGGGGCCGGCGGGGGAAGTCGCGTGTAGAGCTGCGCCGCTGGGGCCTCGCTGCCGGTGTCCGGTGGGGTCGAATCGATAGTTACAAGGTATGTGACATGACCTGGCTAGGGCGTTTGCGAAGGAATTTGTGGAGTTGTTACACTGCTCTGCAGCCAATTATTGTGCGTCTTGTCAGTCCGTCCTGGCTCCTGCTGTCGGCAATTTGTAAAAAAAAGCAAAAGTAAAAGCAAAGTCCCGTGGCATAGGGCGTACACGTGGCCCGTCAGCTTTCTGTTTCCTTTCCTACCTGTACCTTATCAACCCATTTTCTATCGTTTCTTTTCCTCCTCCGATAGACGAGGACATGCACCGTTAATGTTATGTAAAGCTGCCTCGTGCCTCCATATGCACTGTTGTGCTTCCTCGCCCCGCGACTGCGGCAGCCTTCCGCGGCCCAGTGGTGCTCGCCAAGGGCAAGGTGGACCTGCTGTGCGGGCCCGGGGACCACGCCGGCGGCGGTGCCGGTGCCGGCGGCTCTAACAGCAGCGCCGGTGGGGGAGACGCGGCGGGTTCCACCTCTGGGGGCGCCTTGCTGCAGCCCCTGCTGCGCTGCTCCAGTCCGGGCTCACAGCGTCGCTGTGGCGGGCAGGGAGATGTGCTGGCAGGTGGGGTGGGGCTGCGTGAGGGCCTTGGTGGACCTTGACACCCCCATACCTGGCTTGCCACGCAACAGCTAACCTAAGCCGTCCCGTAGAAGCTTTTAAATGTCTAAGGGTTGCTTATTAGCCAGATAGGGTCTAGTAGATGTAAATCAGTGGAGCTACCAGGAGCAATGACCTGGAATGAGCACAGTCGCGGTGCTGAGCAGGAGGTGCAGGAAAGAGAGAGAGAGAGCTCCGTTGCCACAGATGTTAAGAGTGCAGCGAGGAGGCGGAGGGGCCAAACGGGGCCTCAGTCACTTCCCCCCCCCACACACACACATACACACACGCCCGCACACCCCGCAGGTACGGCAGCCGCTTTCCTGGGCTGGGCCTCGAAGCACAAAGCCAATGCGCAAAGGGCTGGAGGAGAAGCCACGGGAACACCACCACTACCACCGCCATCACCGCAGCAGCAGCAGCAGCAGCAGCAGCCCCCGAGGTCTCCAATGCCGCAGGCTCCTCCGCAAACTCCCGCGGAGGGTGAGGCTGGAAATGGAGCAGAGGGCCTGGACACGGACACGGTGGCTCTGTGCGGCTACGCGGCGTGTAAGGTCGTCCGGGAGGCGGCTCGCCGGGCTTACAATAGATGGGGGCGGCCCATGCTGGCTGGGGACATGATTCCGGAGCTGTACCCTGCGTTTGTGCAGACCGTGGGGAAGCGGTGAGGAGGTGGCGGGCGGATGGCATCCACTTGACAAGGCAGACAGGCAAACAGACAGGCGAGGACAGGCACTAGTGCAGTTAACGGTGGACCTGTCGACCCCGCCTAGGGAACGGGGGGCGGCACGAAGGGAGACGGGTGAACAAGTCTGGGGACGAGTTAAGACGGAGACGAGCCTTTTGTTGTGTGGCTAGGGAAGTGGCTGGCTAGCGATGACGTGCCTGGGGAAGAAAGCAAGAGGGGCCCCGTCTTATAGCGGTCGAGGAGGGTGCCGTACGGCCCGCAGCGCCGTCGTGCCATCGACAAGAAAAGCAGCACGGCACGCACGATCACAAAAGGGCGTCGCGAAGCTTTTACCTGTTGTTCAGTGCGGCATGAAGATGAGACTCCTGTTTTGATATTAAAGTGTAAAAGGAGTTATTGTTACAGTGTTTATTACAGTGCGAGTTTTAATAAATTGTATAAAGCCCTAATCAAAAAATGATTTGTTACAGGCGTTCCAACGCGGATGAGCGATGCACGCAGCCGCTGCTACTCCGCACAGAAAGATCAAACAATAGACAGGTGATCTGGATCCAAAGCAGGTTGGGAAGAGCCCAACGGTGCATGGTACTGTCCAGCGCGAGGAATCAGCGTACAGGATTTCTTTGCAGTCTGAGCGCGCGGGGCCGCGAGGAGCAACGCGCCGCGGTTTTGTTTTTGGGCGCTGCAAATACCGTATTTGGAAGGAAACTCGCCCCATACGACAAGTTAGTGCATTTTTTATTAATACGTTCGGGGAATATTTCCGCATGACCCTCGCTCACACATTCGCTCCTTCCCAACTCTCCAGGGCATCCATTCCGATGACACTCCGCGCACAGCCAGAGCATTTGTCATTTTTTCCGGTCAGTATAAAAGCCCACAGCCCGCCACAGATGTTGGCTGTGTTAAAAGAAAGCACCTTGGCCACGTTAACATGTGAATGACACCGTTCACGCGCGTTGGTGTGCGTGTGTATGATGTGTGAAACAGGGGGGTGTATCTTCGCCCGTGGCAGCTACCCTGCGAAACCCTGCCTTCCCCGGTATTTCGGGGCACCCTCATCCAGTCACCCTAGTCAACTTCTCAGTGGATCGCTCAGGTTCCGCACCCACCACCAGCATCCAACGGAATCTGCCGGGTCGACAGCGGCGCAACTCCGTTCCTGGTCGGCTCGCAGGTTAACTTTATCCCAGGTCACCACCGTCCATCAACTAGGGGCGCAATGCCTTCCACCATCGGAAGGACTTTTGACCCTAACGGGTATCGATCCCGGGATCTCCCGGGGGCAATGGTCGCGCCTTACCAGTGGTGCCAAACCCGTGTGTATGTATGTTTTTGTAGCCCAAAGCTAGACCTTTGACACCACAGACATACATTTGCGTACACCCCAACACAAACGGATCCCTGGCATGCCTGGGGAAAGGGGAGAGAGACGCGCATTGGATGAGCCAGGACATCCAGCCAGTACACCAACAGCAACGCAATTGGGGACGCAAAGCTTCCACGCACCGCAAGCACAGAGCCCACCCGAGTCATATCGTATTCCCGCCTCTCCGAGCTGCCTATAGGATGCCGAGCTGCCTAGCTCCGAGCTGCCTAGCTCCGAGCTGGCTAGCTAGGATGAAGAAACGAACCGCGAGGTAAGTACCCATGTACCGTTATCGCAGTTGTAAAATGTAGTGACAGGACTAATGGAAGGAAGGGAGCCCGCTGGAGGTCGCCGACGGACGCCGCCGGATGCGGCCTATAGAATCAGTTGCAAACAGTTGCGTGTGTACAGCGAGGCAAAGCATCCGTCAAGTGAACCGCACATCATGAAAATATTTCCGAACAAGAATGCATTACGAGACGCAAACAGCCTTGACGGCCTAACACCTGAAACAAAGGTTGTAAAAATTGCCATTCAGCAAAGCATTAATTTTCATTGTTTATTCCGGCGAGACGTGCTGAGCTGTGCTGCCAGGGGTCACCGCGCCCAGCCAATCCCAATGTGGGCCCATGCCGAGGAGAAGGCGGCGGCAGCGGAGGAGGATGAGCCCTCCTTAGTATCCCTCCCTCACTGCCCTCGCTGGTGGGATATCCCACAGCCTCCCTGGAGCCCTTTCCCTACTGCCCAGGTGCAGGACACCACACCAGTGGGGGAGCCTCCTGGAGGCGGTGGCCGGGGTAGCGCAAAGCGCGAGCAGACACCCTCCTCCCTACAATGCCGAGCAGCCAACCACACCACGCCCCATCTGCCACGTTCGAACACACACCGCACGCACATCTCCCGCCCGCTCACGCCATACAGGACTAGGAATCTCGCATGCGGCACGATTGCCTGCACAGTACTTTCCAAGCGGTGATTCTCAACGTACGCAAAAACACAGCTCGCGCGCTTGTCATCATATCCGTACACACAGCGAAACACGCATTTAGTCTCACCCATACCCCCATATACTACTGTTACTACTACCTGCAGCAGCCGGGCTACCCTGTCTAGTCCGGGGAAGTAAGGAACACCACTCTGTAGTGCCCCCACCCACCCACCCACCCACCCCGAAGGGCCCCAGGCAATTTAAGCCCCTCAAGCCCGCCTGCCCCTTAGAGCAGGAGGCGGCATTGCTGCTGCGAGTTCATACGGCTGCTGCACGACTGCGTGCGCGCGCACACAAGAGACAGAGACAGAAAGAAAAGACGAGAGAGAAATGGAGTTCCTTTCGAGTGCCTCTACGTCCACAGAGGCCAATCAGTGCTCAGTCCTCAACCCACTCACTGTACGTCTCCTGTGCGCCCTGGAGCGCCTCCTGAGTCCACCGGGGATGGGCACATATGTATATATGCATGTATGTGTGTATGTTTGTACATGCAGTCATGCATCACATTTCATGCGCACATACACACATACACATGCCGGGGGCACCTGCTTGTCTCCGCAGCGCACGCGCCGTGGAGCATGACCCTCTGCTTTGTCCGGTAGCTTCAGATAGAGAGGAGAAAAATAGGTTCTATCTAGTTGGGACTACTCTAAGTGCCGTCGTTGTCGGTGGTCAGTTCGAGCCGCCCACCACCACCACCTAGTCGCCCTTCGCCCCTAAAGCGCTGCCGCTTGATTCTATGGGCTCTTGACACCATAATACAAATATCAACATCTTTATTTGGGAAATTCAAGCAACTACGTGTACCCTTCTAGGCTCCCATCCATCTCCCGAGAGGCTGCATCCGCCCCTAGTCGCCCCCGTCACCACCAACGGCGCATCCGCTCTTCTGGAATTCTCATTGGCCAAGCATTTGCCGGTATGATCTCCATCCCCGCAAAGAAAACACTTCCATGCATTCAACCCCGCATTTCACCCCTTCCGTCCCCCCACCTCCGTTTTGTTAAAGACCCCACCCCGCACGACATGCACCAGTGCGTACTTTTAGGAAACTCGTCGCCTCTCGCTGCGACAATGAATGAATTTCCAGTTCGAGGTGCAGTTGCCCCACCGCCACTGCCGGCGCGGCAATGATAACCATGGCATGCATCAACACAAAAAAAACTCGACAGCTGCAGTCCCCGCCGCCAAGCCCAGCACGAGGGCCCCTACGAGGCCCCGGGGAGCGCGAGATTCCGTCCCCTCCCTCCCTCCCTCCCT